AAAGACTTTTTATAATGTGACTCGCTTATTTGAACATCCCAAAGTTGTTGAGGAGACAATTTATTTTCTTTCTAATATATGTGAACGAAAAAAACATGTCTTGTTTTTTTGTTGTTGCTACATTCTCTCCCTTCATTAATTGAAAGAAAGGATAATAGTGAATAAAAATAGGATCCTGTGGAAACAAAGCTATTTAATCAATTGCTTATTGTACTGACACGTCGGAAAATAAAACATAAAGCAGAAGAAATAACACGTTGGATTGAAACAAGCAAGTAATATCATTTATTTGGGTCACGTGAATCAAAGCGTTTTCTAGGACGATCCTCCAACGTGCAGCAGAATTTAGATAGACGATTTCCTCTTGAGCTGCCACTCTCCCTCAATGGCCTCCGCTTCAAGCATCCTACTTCTTCACCATTCTTCTCTGTTTCTCTGGAGAGCTCTTTCAGCCTATCAGTCACTCGAAGGGAAGGAGAGGCTGTACTAGTTTGAATTTCAAGACCTAATAATAATAATAATAATAATATAAATTTATCGTGGGAGTTTGATTGGACTAGTAAATATCTAATGTATGAGCATGATCATGCGTTAAAAAATTGAAAGTCATCATGTAAGTTGTGAAGCCTTAATCAAACAAGCATCAGCATGTCTTTTTCTGGCTCCCATATGGTATTAATTTATAACATACTCGATTTAAAATACTTACCAAATTGCTTAAAACAACTGTTTGCCCCTCGTTTGGATCAGTTTTTATTAATGATTCACTGTCTGCTCACATTAGAAAAACAGATTGATTGGTGGACTCGTTCCATTTGAGTGATCTGCATATGAAAAGATAAAAAGAATGCATGATTACATTAATTCTGCAATTTCCTAGTTTCTAAAGATGTTTCGAAAAAGCCTTCTTGAAGCATGAAGAAACCTTTGAAGACAAGAAAGAGAAGGTGCAAAGCTGGAGAGATGCACTTATTTCTGTAGCCAATCTTGCTGGATGGCGTTTGAAAGATGGATGCGTAAACTATTCTTCTATTAAGTAATTGTTCCTGTTTGTACCTGAAAGCATTTTTGCTTTTTCTTGTTCTAAAAAATCAATTGAAAATAGAAAAGAAAAAGAAAAATAACTGCAGACTCTTCCACACACACACATCAATAACACATGCACGGACTTCTTTATACTACACACGACGACCAGATATATGATCAACCAGAATTTCAGAAACAATAATCTGGAGTGTACATATTATTCATTATTAATTACTAATAGCTACCTTTATGAGAAAAGTTCTATAACCATGGAAAGAAATAGCTCTTCGTAATTAAATACTAGTAGTTGTAAGAAAAAAGCCCCTACAATATATAACTGTTTTGCTTTACCTCCTACATAAATGTTCCATTTATTTATTTGCAGACCCGAATCGGAAGTTGTTGAAGATATTGTAGGAATGAGTTTCACTAGATTAAACCAAACAATTTTAAGTGAATCCAAGGGTTTAGTTGCGATGGATTCTCGTATATAGAAGAACTGCTTTCTTTCTTAGAGATAGGGTTGCTTGATGTTCGTATCATAGGGATTTGGGGGATGAAGGGAATTGGCAACACAACTCTTGCACGAGTAGTTGCCAAAAGAATATGTGCTCAGTTTGAAGTTACAGCTATCTAGCCAATGTTAGAGAGGCAACTGAAAAGCAAGGTCTAGAACATTTACAAGAGCAACTTCTTTCAGACTTGCTGAAAAGCAATGTAAAGATACAAATATTGATATATGGAAGACATAATAGGGCATAGACTACGTAATAAAAAGGCTCTTATTATTGTTGATGATGTGGATGAGGTTGAGCAAGTGGAAGCACTATGTGATCGGACTTGGTTTGGTCCAGGGAGTAGAATCATCATAACATCAACAGATGAACATGTGCTACGCAGATATGCAGACAAAATATATCAGGTTAAGCTCTTAACTAATGATGAAGCTCTTCAGCTCTTCGGTTGGAAATCCTTTCAAAATATCAGGTTGAAGAAAGTTTTCTCAAGCCATCCAAGGACTTTTTAACATATGCTAAGGGCCTTCCATTAGCTATTAAAGTTTTGGGTTCATTCCTTTGTAATAGGCCACAAAACGCATGGTCAAGTGCATGCATTAAATAGACTAAAAGAAAATCCCCTGAGAAAAAAATCATTGATGTCCTTAAAGTGAGTTTTGATGGATTATCATTAGAAACAGAAAAAAAAGTTTTTTTGGACATTGCCTCTTTCTTTAAGGGAGAGAGCAAAGATCGTGTAATAAGATTATTAGAAACTAGTTGTGGCTACCGTCCGGAAATTGATATAGCTAGACATTCTCATGGAAAAATCTCTATTAACTCTATTTGGAAGAAATTTGTGGATGCATGATTTGATACAAGAATTGGGTTGGGAAATTGTTCGTTGAGAATGTCGTGAGAGGCCCGGAGAACGTAGCAGGTTGAAATAATAAGGTAAGAAGTCAAATGAGTACACACAGACTCGAAGATTGTTAAAATGTATTTATTAAATCTCCTTTGTATTTCGCAATAACTTATGCAGCAACTTATTCTTGGCTGTTCTCTATTAGAGCATGTCCAGCGCCCAACCCAAACTGGGTGAAAGGCTGCCAGGGCGAGCCCGAGATGGCTCCAGCGCAGGGCCCGTACCCGGTTTCATGGTGGGTCCCACGAGCCCGAGGAAGCCCAAGGGCAAGTCTTGCCCAGGTTGAAGCCCGAGTCTGTTGACGTCAGCGCTGATGTCACCACCTGACAGCCTCCAACGGGCGTTTGCCACGTGGCACGACAGGGGCGCTCGGATGGCTTTTTTCTAGAAATCCGACGGTCCTCGTTTTTTTGGCTTAAAAAATTGCAAAAAAAATCGAAAAAATTCTGAATTTTTTTTAAAAAAAATACCCAAAAATTCTGTATTTTTTTCTCTATAAATACCTAACCATTTTATTTACTTTCCACACTAAATCTTCATACAATTTCTTCTCCATCCAATATTTTTTACTCTCCACTCACATTATTCACTTTCCACACCAATTCTTCATACAAACTTTTCTCCTTCCAATATTTTTTTATCTCCACTCACATTTTTCACTTCCACACCAATTCTCCATACAAACTCTTCTCCTTCCAATATTTTTTACTCTCCACTCACATTTTTCTACTACTTTCCATTTGTATAAAAAAACGAATGACATCTTCTGTTGAAGTCGGAGGCTCGTGGTCAACGAATGAAGATATTGCGTTGTGTCAATCTTGGGTGAACATTAGTCATGACCCTATCACGGGCAATGAGATGAAGTTTCATCACATGTGGAGCAAAATTCATGGAGAATTTTGTCAAAGATCGGGTTCTATTCGGACCGAAATGGCGTTGTCTAGTAGATGGAAACTTCTAAATAAAGAGTTAGGGAAATGGAGAAATGCCTTGACAAAAGCAAAGGCGAACATTCAAAGCGGTCAAAATTTGACCGATGAGGTAAAATATTTATAATTGCCATTTTAATCAATTCAATGTCACTTTTTTTTTATTGCATATTCTATTTGTTTTTCTTGCATAATTTTTTTTTCTTGGTGCACCTTTAATTTGTTTATATTTTCTTGCATAATCAATTTTATTTTTGCATTTCAAAATAGTTTATATTTTCTTGCCTAATAATTTTTGTTTCTTGCACTTCCAATTATTTATTTTTAATAGATGATACAAGCACAAATGTGGTTCGGTGCCATGGGGCAAGGCAAAAAAAGTTTCGTGCATTTCCATTGTTGGGAAATTGTGAAGGATTGTTCGAGATTCAAAATTATTCCCACCGGTCCGCCGGTTGTGATGAATGAGACGCCACTCCACGATTCGACATCAACCGATTCTCCATTGGACTCCCCAATGGAAACGGAGTCACCATTTGTGCCACGTCCGCCGAGACCTATTGGGAGAAAGGCGGCAAAGGCCAAGAGAGGGGGCACTTCGACCAATGAATGTGTACAATTATTGGAGCAAATAGCTAAGAGCACCTCACTAAGAATGGAGAGAGACTTGAAAAGAGATGAAATGGACGTGGCACGAGAGGAAGCATTTTTTATTCAACAACAAAAGGCACAAGAAAAAGACATAGAGGATAGAGAGATGAAAATCATGGCCATGGATACGAGCCATATGTCTCCCGAAACAAAGGCCTATTGGAAGCTACGACGAAGAGATGTGATGAGAAGAAAACTTTTCCATGACGACGGACCTAGCAATACGGATTGGTTAAATGATGAAAACCATTAGGTTGTATTGAAACACCTTTGCCATATGTTGTATTATTGTATTATCCTTTAATTTGTTGTATTGTTTCCTTTTTATTCAATAAAAAAAGCATTAAATAAGAGGGAGATTCACTATTATACCCAATATGAGGGCTCAAGTTATAAAAATATCCCATATGAAATGGACTTTAGAAACACACCCAAAGCCCATTTACAACATGACAAAAAAGCTTTTAACTTCTTATAAATAACAAAACTGCCATCAATTTCTTAAAACAAGCCCAACTCCAAAATCTCATAAAAATACCCAAAACACTCAATAGGGCATCAAAGTAATTTAATAATCAATATTAAATTCAATAAGGTCAGCTGTCATTTTTTGGGTTTGTTTATATAAATTCAATTGTGTAGGGTTTATTTATAATATTAGTGCTAGAAATGGGTATATCACTAAATATCTCTAAATAAAATGACTACTTATTCAAAACATTTGAGCATCAAAACAAATATTAATTAAAAAAAACCTTCATTTATTGCAAACAACACACAAAACAAACCATACATAAAAGCATAATAATAATAAAAAGCATAATTCCAAAAAACACCACACACAAAATAAAGCATAATTAAAAACAAAGCATAATTCCAAACAAAGCACTAATCTTGACTTCATCCATTGTGATTGCCTTTCATCTCCCACAAGTGCTCGACCAAGTCACCTTGACGTATCTCGTGAACTTATGAAGATTGCATTTCTTGATACCGATCAATCATGGGGTTGTTGAATTGACCATCCCGAAGTAACGGTTCGGGCTCCAGTGGTAGTCCATTTGGCCCAATTGGCCTTTCATATATTCTTGTCAACGATGTGTTCATTGGATCAAGTTCAAACACCTCTGGAGCGTCATAGTCATACTCATCCTCCACAATCATGTTGTGGAGGATGATGCAAGTCATCATAATACTTCGCAGCACCTCCTCATCTAGCATCCGAGCAGCACCTCTAATAATTGCCCAACGAGCTTGTAAGATACTGAAACATCTCTCCACGTCTTTCCTGTAACCTTCTTGAAAGGAAGCAAAGTTTCTTTCCTTCTCGGATTGGGGATTCGGAATTGTTTTCACGAATGTCGTCCACCTAGGATTAATTCCGTCGGCAAGGTAGTACGCACCAGAGTAAACGGTATTATTGATTTGGTACGTGACCTAGGGGGAATGACCTCACAATACCTTGTCGAACACCGGGGATTGACCAAGGACATTGAGGTCATTCTGAGATCCGGCAACCCCGAAGAAGGCATGCCAAACCCAACAGTCGAATGAAGCTATGGCCTCCAAAATTATACTTTTTTGGCCCTTCCGATTCCCATACTCTCCTTGCCAAGCAGTAGGACAGTTCTTCCACTGCCAGTGCATGCAATCGATGCTTCCAATCATTCCTGGGAAACCTCGTGCCTCGCCTTTTTGTAGAAGCCGTTGCAAGTCTCTTGGCGTGGGTTTGTGAAGGTACTCCATCGTGTACAAATTTTCCACTGCATCACAGAATCTCACCAAGCACTCTAGGATAGTAGATTTTCCCATCCTTGCAATCTCATCCACCTGCTCTGCAGATGCCCCATAAGCAAGCATTCGCAAAGCAGCTGTAAGTTTTTGCTCCTGGATAAGACCCAAAGCTTCAACAGCATCATGATTTTGAATGAAGTATGTGTTGTAATTACAAATATCATCCATGATTTTTTGGAACAAATGCGGCTGCATTCTATATCTTTCTCGAAACTTAGAAGTAGGATATAACGAATTTGGGATAAAATAATCCTCCATGAGATTCTTACCCCAAGACTCCCTACGTCTGTCCACATTCGGGGCACGACGATGACAGTGTTGCCTTGATTGATCCATCATACACACCACTACTGCAAGCATTTGTTCCTCTTCTTCATCGGCATCCCGATCTTCTTGAGCACGTCTACGCCGAATTTCTTCCCTTTGTTTCTGTTGCCTCTCCAACATCCTCGACAAGTTTGACATTGAGAGTAGAATGTGTTTTCTAAAATCTGAGAAATGAAGGAATAGATAAGAGATGGTGTGAGAGGTATGAGTTGATGGTGTAGTTTTATAGAGGGATTTAGAAGATAGAGATGACACGTGGCACAATTTTAGAGGATGAAAATCTTATCTAAAATATGAGATTATAATTTTTTTTAAATATCTGAAAATCTTATCTGACATGGGACACGTGGCACAATTTTAGAGGGTGAAAATCTTATCTGAAATATGAGATTATAATTTTTTTAAAATATATGAAAATCTTTTCTGACATTGGACACGTGGCACAATTTTAGAGGGTGAAAATTTTATCTGAAATCTGAGATTATAATTTTTTTTTCAATATCTGAAAATCGTATCTGACATGGGACACGTGGCACAATTTTAGAGGATGAAAATCTTATCCGAAAATTTAATTACAAAAGATTATCAAAATTAATGGTTTAAAGTATTAAAAAATAGGAAATAAAGTACAATGAATAGTAATTGCCTTAGACTTGCCCTAGACTTTGCCCTCATGGGTGGAACCACAAATGCAAAGGCTGACACTATTCACGTGAATAGTGACAGCCCTTGCTTGCCCTTGCCTTAGACTTAGCCCTTGTGAGTGGAGATGCTCTTAGGGAACCGGCGCAATAGAAAGCATATTCCTCAAATTGCCAAAAAAAGACACCAAAAAAAATAAAAAAGAGGTGAATTTAAATGTGAATGCCTTCTCAAAGATGGACAATTTAAGATTGCTCAAGATTTGGAATGGGAACTTTCATGGAAACATTGAATATCTTTCTAATGAGTTACAATTTCTGGAATGGCATGAGTGTCCTTTAAATTATTTGCCATCAGACTTTGAATCAGATAAGCTTGTTGAACTCAACTTGTATTCGAGCCGCATTGAACAACTATGGGAGGGAGAAAAGGTAAGATCATTAATATTAATCTTATGTATGTCTATATTATTAAATATATGTTATAAACTAGAAGTAGATGCAGGGCTATGCTTTCCAATTATGCATTTTAAAATTATCTTATTGGAAGAAATTTAAACAAATGTAAATATATTATATTTGGCAGTCTTGTATTTCATAATAGCTTAATGTACAAGAAATGACTATCAGGATCTGTTTTGGTTCCCCATAAATTTATTGCTTGCCTAATTTTATGCCTAATTTATTCTCAGGTTTAAGTTCTTTGAAAAATCTAAACCGAAGTGACTGCAGTTTGATAGAGGGAGCACTTCTTAATGGTCTTGCAAGCTTATACTCAGAAATATTAAATTTACGTGGTAATAAGTTTGTTCAGCTACCTGAAAGCTTCTCTCAACTCTCGAAGCTTAAACATCTGGACGTGAGCAATTGTGGTAGGCTTCAATTGATGCCTAAGGAGCTTCCATCAAGTCTTCAACATCTGAGTGCCCAGGACTGCACATCATTAATAGGCTCTCCAAATGAGTTCAAAATATGGGCTTCACCTGTCTCAGGAACAACTACTTTCAATTCTTCCCAAAATTCCCAGTGCTCTTATAGTATCAAGTCTAGCAACTGGTGCAAAAGTCTCGTTGAAGTCTATGCCCGGATGCTGTGAATAGCCTTTAGCTACTAGCCTTGCCTTATGCTTTTGTATTGATCCATCGGGATTAAATTTGGTCTTATAGACCCATTTAACCCCAATGATTTGTTTGTCTTTTGGGCGATCAACGAGTTCCCATGTTTTACTTGTGATTTTACTCACTTATCTATGTTGGAAAAGATACTTTCATCTCCAGTCATGTGCTTACTGCAGCCGCTGTCAATATACCATTTCTTGTTGGTTCCTTCTGATGTGGCTTGATTAGTATAAAACACATGTTTATTCTTCTCACTTTTTTCTGAGTAATTGGCTTGATAGTTCTTGGTTCGACAGTCTTTTTCTATGTGCCCAAATTTTTTACAATTTCGACATTTGGGCTTGCCACGGAACCAACAATATTTTTCTAGGTGGTTTGTATTTTTACACACCCCGCAGGGAGGATAGTTTTTTCTTTCCTTTATTTCTTTTGTTTTCTGAGACCTTAAATTTAGTTTTGACTGAAAGACGCTTTCAATTGAATTTTCATTTCGCCTACTCAATCTTTTCTCATAAGCTTCAAGAGAGCCAATTAGTTCTGTCACTGACAAACTAGTTAAATCTTTTGTCTATTCAATGGCAGTAACTAGAGGATCATACTTATTAGGAAGACTAATAAGTATTTTTTCTACAATTCTTGAGTCATTAATATTTTCTCCATAGGCTCTCAATTGATTAATTATTATTTTTATTTTAGCATAATAGTCTTGTGTGGTCTCAGAATCCTTCATTTTAATATTTTCAAACTCTCTTCTCAAAGTTTGTAGTTTAACTGCACGTACCTTGGCATTGCCTTGAAATTCCTCCTTTAAGGTATTCCATGCTTCCCTTGCAGTTGTGGCTCCCATGAAAATAGGAAGAGGGTCAGAGTTTTAGTTAGTGGTAGACATGATGGAGGAGTAGTGAGCCAACGCCCAAGATTGATTGGAACAAGCTCTGATACCACTGTTAGAATTGAAAGGGGGAAACAACAAAGTGAATTTATTAATTGAGGAGGTGAATAGTACATAGCGTGGTGTAGGCTAATTGGCCTTGTACACTTAGCATATTGGCTTATTAGCCACAACACTTGATTTAATTAGTTTGGGCTATTTGGCCTTCACTTAGATTAGTTTGGGCTATTTGGCCCTTCACTGAGATTAGTTTGGGCTATTTGGCCCTTCACTTAGATTGGTGAGCTTATTGGCTCCACAACATAGCTTTACTTGGGTAGCTCTTTGGCTTCCTTAGTTTGGGAGTTCCTTTGTTTCACTACACCACACTTGTAAGTTGCATGCCTATTTATAGGCTTAGTGTTGCCGACTATCTAAGTTGGCTTTTTACTTGGTTAGATCGGTTTGCACAGTAACCGACTTTGTCTAAGTAATTTCAGCCATATATTGTAGTTTTCTACTAGAGCTTTCTAGTAGCTTCATTAACTAGTGTTTAGGGAATACAACCACCAACTTTTCATTCTATATTATTCTAGAAAATTCTGCTGTCCTGTAGAAATCTCTCTCAAATGTGCATTAATGTTTAACAATTTGTTTGTTTAACTTGTATTTAAGTACCTCAATTCTTGTGAATAAGGAAATCAAAATGTTGCGCTATGAAACAGCACGGATATAACAATACCTTCTACTAAATTATATTGCTTAATTATTTGGTGATAATAATTTTATTATTTGCTTCCTACCCCATAGATTGTTGCTGTAAGTTTATTACTCTCTCTCTCTCTCTCTCTCTCTCTTCTATTAAGTGGTATTTGTTCTCTTAATCAAGGAAAGACAAGTAATTGAATCCAACAATTGAAGGAAAGACAAAGATCATGCATGTACTTCCAATTGAATTCAACAATAGAAATTAGTGTCAGGGTTCTCATTTATAAATCCCTCCATTTTGTGATATACTAATTTGAATTTTGAATCACCTCATCCCCATGAAGTTACATGAACTAAACAAGACAGAAGAGAAAACCAAATATTGTTTTACAAGGGCAATCAACATTACATAATAACCTTAAAGATAAAAAATAAACCAGATCGAGCTACACAAAACAAACAACAAATAGCTCAAAAGAGCAGCACAACCTTAGCCACCACAAACTGAAGCAAAACGCAAAAACCCAAGAAAGCTTCAAGTTCCAGAAAAAACTGAAACAGATCGATTTCATGCATGAATATTCCTCGCAAACACTTTTACGTTCTTACACAATAATATTCTTAACAATGTACTGTCTGGCGAAGATTGCATTTGGCAGGAAGCTGCATGGCAAGGTTGGGGTCGATGCCATAGGAAGTCAAAAGGTTGGAGTAGTTCTTGAAGAAGCAAAGGCACTGGAAGTCAGCGATGGAAAGAGCTGAGCAACACAAAGCTGAGGGAGGCAGAGGATTTAGGCCGCTCACTGATGGAGCACATGCATTCAAACCCTCTTTTGTCAGACGGCAAAAAGTTACCTGGACCTGCTCATTGGCCTCAGACCCAATGGCCAGTGCCAAAAACAACGCCACAATAACCACAAGCTTTTTGTATGCTGCCATGTCTATTCTTTAGTTTCTTGGTGTGCGAAAGATGGTTTGTGGCCATGGCCTTATATAGCAAGCGAACGTAGAGGTTGGTGGCTTGTCTTACTCTTGCCCACTTGTGGCCATGGCCTTACTCGTGCAACATAAGATAATTACATTTGTAAATCCGGACCATTGACTAGGTTGGTTCTTGTCTGAATGTGCGGCCACAGATTTACAATTTGTCAAAATAAATATTTGTGACAATATAAAGGCTCGTTTGGAAATGCTTCTGGAAGGGCTAAAAGTACTTTATAACAACCAAAAGCGCATCTAACAATAATTGGCAGAAAAGTTTATAAGTGATCTTCTGGGCCATAAAAGCGCTTTCTAGAGAAGCAATTGGCATGTGCTTCTTTAGGAAGCACTCACAAGTGCTTTTTCAGGAAGCACTTCGATTTTCTATGAAATTTTCAACAACTTTATAACAAAAACGCTTTTATTAAAAGCGCTTATGAACAGAAGTGCTTCCTAAATAAGCAGTCTCAAACGAGTCCTAAGTCTAACAAGAAAAACATTACCAATCCGACAATACATCATCATTTCATACTTTAGTTTAATTATCTTTGTCACATGCATCTTAAAACAAAACATTAAATATAAAACTGAAATCATTTTGGACTCAAGTTTATACCAATAAAGAAAATATAATTAGTGATCATATTTCATTATGTTTCGCTATTTTTGGAATACATGGGAAATGTGAATGGCGGCATATTGTTAATTAGAACTCTCGTGAGAGAGACTTGGCGTATTTGGCGTTACTGTGGGCTGTAAAATCACGGAGACACATTGGTGGTGACAAGAGATTGGTGTTTTGTGGGAAGCAACCATTATCCAAATCAATCAATTGTTTCCTACGTTATAGTTTAAAGGAATGTACAACTTGTATTGTATAAGTGACCTGTGACCCTTCATATCCATTTCTCACTGTCACTTTCATTTTGATTCGTTCATACTTCATGGGGAACTAGGTTGAAAAGTCATTAATTAACACGACTAGATAGACAAAAGATAGCTAGTATTTATAGATGACATTTGTGCCCAAAAAACCTAACATGAAGGAAAACAAGTGTCTGAAAAAAAAAAAAATCGTTTTTATCGGACCAACGGTTTGATTTGGTATGAAATATAAATTATTGCTTTGTCGTATTTTTACAAATTGGATCATAACAAATAAACTCGGTGAAAATTTGGGTTGATTATCATCACTCAACGCATTGGCAACTATTGCCAAATCAATTTTATAATAAAAATACTTTTGCTAGAAGCGCTTATGAGCAGAAGTGATTCTTAAAAAAACAGTGTCAAACGAGTAATTAAGAATATATGTCTATCTATGAATCTATAAATAAGTAAATAAATCATCCATGGTTTGCTAGACTTAAAGTAATTTTTGTCGTTAATTTGTTAATGTTTGTGATCTAAATTGAAAAGCTTTTTATCCTCAGTTGAACAACTTTATTCTGGGCCTTAAAATTGGGGGACCTGCAATACAAATCGATAATGACCAATCCGCCGCCCATTCCTTGAAAAAGGCCGAGATCATCACATCACACTTTTATAGCACAACATGACTTGCCACTAATGACACAATCTGCAAGCCACAATCAACGGAAACGAGTAATTATTATTAGTTTAAGCCACAGCACAAGACATTTGAGTGATTTTATGGTGGGTGCTATATATTTAATAAAGCATTAATAATGATCAATCAAGTTTGAGAAAGGATAACATGATAAATTATGACATATTAGACATTCTCTACTCTCAGAATGAAGAAAACAAGGTACGCTACTTATTGCTTCTCATTGCTGATAGTGCGAAAAAGATAGATTACTTGGTTAGAGCATCCACAATCATGCTCTCTATTTTTTAGTTAAATTTTAGCTAAAAACATATCAAAGTTATTTTAGGAGCTCTTTATAAAATTTAAACTCTGATCATGCTCTCTAGTTTAGGGAGTCATAAATGTTATAACTCTTTTTTAATTTGTCCATCTCTATTAAAATAATAATATAAAAATAATAAACATTAATTACATGTTTGAAATACTCATTAAATAAAGCAGCATTAAATTATAAGGAGCCACTAGGAGTCATTTCTCTCTCCTTAGATTTAGGAGCTTCTAGAGGTCTCTCTATTTTAGGAGGTGAATAGAGAGCATGGTTGGAGTTATATTTTTCCAAATCCTCCCTAAAATTTGTTTAAAGAAGTGGTTTAGAGAACCCATTGTGGATGCTGTTAGTTCGAGAAACAAATCTTTATATATAGATGAATTCGTTACTTATTGCTTCTCATTGCCGTTTTACTTAAAAGAAAAAGAAAGATATAAGTACATAGAGATTCTAGAGAAGATTTGTACCTCAAAAGCAAGATAGTCGGTCATATTGTTCACATTGCCATTATGTGGGTTCCCATTTTGATGTGGACAAAACCAGACCACGTATTTGCCGTATTACAGCATGGCCAATCAACCTTAGGCTGATTAATATTAACTCTCAATCTTCCATCTTCTACTAATATAAATTCCTTTTTTTTTCATTTAACTGAACTTAAGTGTAGGAGGAGCTACCACTTTTTTTTCGTTATTTCCTAATAAAACTTGTGTTAGAGTTTGTAAACCTCTACAGAAGTTATCAATTGGTATTGGTTTAGCACTTTATTTGACCCCATAAAAAAGAAGCTAATCATCCCACTAAAACTCAAGCGATTTTGTCTTTTGAAGTAAAAATATTAGATCTTCTACTTGTATTTTTTGTTAGAGTGGATGTGCTCCCTATTCTGCACTAGCGTTCGGATTCCGCTTCTCGTAGTTTAGATTAGGTTAAAGTAGAATATCGTTAGTATATAATAAAAAAAAGGGATTTAAATTTAGAGTTTGAGAATTTATTTTATTTTAAAAAAGAAAATCTAATCGAACCAAAAATGAAAGCAAAATTTCATTTATTTAACTTGTAATTTTACTGTAGTGTGTCCTGGAAAATGGGTGTGAACGCCAAGTGAGAGAAGATGATGAGAGTTTGAATAATTCTCTGCTAAGAAAAGCAAACACAACACAAATTTTTCAAAACAAAAAGCAAAAATCACAGGAAAAAAACAAAAAGAGGCGGGAGAGCGTTACGAGGCACATGGCGTGGCGTGGAATCTTTTTGAAATCTCCCACTGGCGGCAACCAGTAACTTGGCAACACGTGTTGCTAAGCCTTACGTGTCAGTTCCTGAAGCCATGCCCTGACGACACACCGGAAAGCGGGCGGGTCGGAGCACGCGGAACTCTCTTTTGCTTTCCTACTCGTACAAGGAGTCTCACTACACAAAACACCCCTTCATTTCAACAGTAATTACGAAACTGCCATTTAGTTTCAAAATCTGTTAAATTTCTAACTAACTAGCTTCTTACATACATTACACGATGAACATGACCTGATACATTTGATTTTGGTTCCCAAGTTACCATTTGAGTTTCAGATTCATATAAATAGATGATAAGAGAGTGCTGCTAACTATTCAGCAATATAAACCAACATTCTCTTCAAGTTTGGAGTTCTCTTGCCTACCAATTGTAGTTGCTTGCATTACTTACCAATTTGAAGAACAAAAAACAGGTACTTCTATCTCTTAAACATTATAACAATTCCTATGAAATTTAGGATATATATGAGAATTATGTAGCCATTGGACTCACATTAGTATTTGTTTTGTGGTTAAAGTTCCACTCTTTGAAATTAATTTTTAGCTCAACTGATGAATAGGAATGAAGTCGTGAATTGCATAAGTTGTAGGAATAAGATGAGACGAATAAGAATGTAATCAAGATGTTATTCCTTATAATTAGTACACACAATGGAAGTCGAGAATTAAAAAACTCATGTATCATGTCAAAAGCAGTATCTTGCAACTATTTTCTTAATGAATAAATTTCAAATAAGATTCGGAAATATTTTTGGAAAAGTTTATGAAGCTCTCTTATTATTTATCTTCATTATTATCTCTCCTTTGGGTTACAATTCTCGTCTCATATTTGATATGTTCAGAATCATTCAGAACCCACAAAAAGAAAATTGGATAATTATGGCATTAGAATTTGGTGGGGAAGGGGATATCTTTTATGTTGTGAGACAGAGAGGGTATTTTGGTAATTTCACCAAGTGGGTAGGCCCTCAAACAGCTTTTACCCTCTGTGACAGTGCTGCAAAGCATATCAATCAAAATCTTCAAAGAAGTAAATACCTTTTGGTTGTTTTCCCATTTGAAACACTTGACTTGTGTTGCACTGCGTTTGCTTGCCATTATTACCACCAAAACAAGACTTTGGTATCAAGCCTCTGCCACCCTTTTTAATAATTTCATTCATTTATTGGTTTTGTTTTGTCGAAACAAAATCAAAGGTGGTTCCTTCACCTTGGTAACTGTTGCTTTGCGCGTTAAAACTGTGGAAGAGAGCCACAAAACACAGAGACACAGAGAGAAAGATAAGGCCTAAAGGGTTTTCGGGAAGGCAGAGAGAGAGAGAGAAGGGACATTGCTTCCCGCGTTTTCCATGCCTATTTCACTCATTTCTTTCATTTCTCTCATGCGTGCAAGTTATTCCTTAAATCTAAAATCTAAAACCCAACCCATCTTATTTTCTTGGCCATTAAAACTTTTAATTCTCTTTAAACTTTTCTTCATTCCTCATTCACATTTCACCCCATCTCTCTCTCTCTCCTTGATTTGCTTCAGTTCCTTTATTTAATCAAAACCCATAATCTATTTTAGCGATTTTATTTGTTTCTCTTCTCTATTTGCTCTCAAAGGTTCGAACTTTCTCTTTATCTTGTTCTGGTGTTCTTGTTCATTCTGGCCAGCTAGGTCGGTTTGGAAAAAGCTTAGCAATAAAGTTTGGTGCTTTCGATGCTTTTACATCATGATTTGTGATGGTGAAGTCTTAGAAGTTGATTTTCTTGTATAAAAAGTTGGAATTCATTGGTTTTGGTCAAGTGGGTTTGGTTCAAATCTGCAACTTCATTAATTAGTTTGGCAGCAAATCTGGGATTGAAGATTCCATTTTGGGGTGCAATTAATGGTCTTTGTTTGGAAATTAGCTCCTGCTTGACAAAAAGCCCATTTCTTGTCTTTGAGAATCGTAATTACAAGGGAAAGCAATTTGGCCAAGCTCTGAACTTTGATTTGTGGGTTTTTCTGTTTTCTCTTGTTTAGATCTGAATTGAAGCTATGGGAAGCCATATGAGCAAGAAGAGCTCTGAAACATCATCCTCTGCTATCAATCTCAACACCAATTTACAATACACAACTGATCAATTAAGCTCATATGAGGCAGCTTGCAAGGTTGATGCAGAATTGCAATCCTTCGATACCAATCTCCAAACCAGAACCAATCAAGTCATCAACACAATTGCAGCAGGAGTTGAAGTTCGAGCTCTCTCATTTGATTCATTGAAGGAAATCACAGAATGCCTGTTGGAGATGAACCAGGAGGTTGTGAAAGTTATCTTGGAGTGCAAGAAAGATATATGGAAAAATCAAGAATTGTTTGAGCTTGTAGAGGAGTACTTTGAAAACAGCTTGCAGACTTTAGATTTCTGTACTGCATTGGAGAAGTGTTTGAAGCGAGCTCGTGATAGCCAATTGCTCATTCTTGTTGCTCTTCAACAGTTTGAGGAGGAAACCGAAATGGGAGGCAGTCGATACACGAGGACTTTGGGCGAATTGAAGAATTTCAAGGCTATAGGTGATCCTTTTACTGAAGAGTTCTTCCAAATTTTTCAATCTGTTTACAGGCAACAAATACAAATGCTTGAGAAGTTGCAACTAAGAAAGACCAAGCTCGATAAGAAGCTCAAATACATCCACGCCTGGAGGAAGGTTTCGAGTATCATATTTGTTGCTACATTTGCTGCTGTGTTGATTTGTTCTGTTGTGGCAGCAGCCATGGCTGCTCCACCTGTTGCAGCAGCTCTGGCTGCTGCTAGTTCTATCCCTGTAGGCTCAATGGGGAAGTGGATTGACTCTTTGTGGAAAAACTATGAAAATGCTTTGAGGGGTCAAAAGGAAGTAATTAGCTCAATGCAAGTAGGGACTTATGTTGCCATAAAGGACTTGGACAACATTCGGGTTCTTATCGATCGATTGGAAGTTGAAATTGAGTCCCTCTTGCGTAATGCAAGCTTTGCCATTGAGGAGGATGCAGTTACAGTTGCAATTGAGGAGATTAAAAAGAAGTTGGGAGTGTTTATGAAGAATGTAGAGGATTTGGGAGCTCAAGCTGATACCTGCAGCCGTGACATTCGAAGAGCAAGGACTGTGGTTCTGCAGAGGATCATAAAACATTCCAACAACTAGAAGTCCGATGATCCTCAATATTTAACCTGTTGCTGTTTTGATGCTTGATGACATTTGAATTTGTGTAACTTTCTGTTTTTTTTAATTATCATATTTTTTTCATTCTTAGATTGTACCTTGGAATCCCAGACGATTGGATTGATGTATAAAAGAAATAATGTAAGATTATATAGCATTTCACACAAGAACTGACTTGAAGTAGTTCCCATTATGATTTTGTCTTCAATTTAATCATTATTTACTTGATCTGATGAAGTTTGTCTGGTCTGGTATTTTGTTCCAAACAACCATTGGAGTTTCTCTGGTCTATTGTTCCATAAACTTCCATACCAGTGTGACCTCATGTGTTTCAGAATGTGGTGCCTGGAAGATTAGAAGAAATTGCCACTCAGAGGTCTCTTTTCATGTTGATTGCTCATGTAGCCATCTTTCTTCTGCTTAAATCATGCTTAATTGTTACAAGTTGAGACTTGAAACTTCCTCTTCCAAGTTCCAATATGGGGCTTTTCTGAGTCACGTGAGCAGTCAGTTTATGCTTTCTCCTTTTATGGTTGGTTTTCCAAGTGCCTGTATAACTAAACTAACTGTATGTAGTTCTTTTGTATCCATGACTTTTTTCAGGTAATGAGGGAAACCCTCTCATTCATTCCCGCCCAAAAACTTGCAAATCACATGTATAAGGTAAATTTAAGTATTTTTACATGGTCAAGTTCAAGGCAAATATAATCTGTTTGAGTTTACGGTCCAATGCTCACCTCTCTAAGCTACTTGTATGGGTTTGTATTGTCTCTAAGCTACTAAGTTATTATGTTATTTTCTTTTCCCTGCATACTTTTCTATACATATAACCACAATGAGTGCTCTATAGAATTCTCTTGTCCTAATCTTAATTGATAGTTAACTACTCTTACTTCAGCAAATATTTATAATCTGTAAGTAAGAAATCAGTTTAACAACAATCCCTGCTATAAAGAATTCTCATGTCCAAATCATGATGGTGACTACTTAACCTCAGCCAATAATTATAATTAATCTGTACTTCAGAAATAAGTTTACCAGAAAACCATTAGTGAACATATGAGAAACTTGCACATGTGAAGTGCATATATTTTAGAATTGCATATTCCTGACTTCTGAACATATGATGTAATAATCTAGAACAAAAATGAAAATAAAAGAGGGGAACCTGTCAGACAACCGTGTGATCATCCCAGCAAGAGAAGAGTGGCTGAGAACGATCCTCTACTAATTGGATGATCCAAGGACCATTAGATTGTTGATCATGCCCTGATCACACGGTCCTGTTTTCGCTGGCTTAGATCTATATTGAAGCTATGGAAGGCCATATGAGCAAGAAGAGCCCTGAAACATCTTCTGCTATCAATCTCGGTACCAATTTACAAGACATAACTGATCAATTGAGCTCAGGTGAGGCAGCTTTCAAGGTTGATTCAGGCTTGCATTCCTTTGATACCAATCAAGTCATCATAGCTACTGCAGGAGGTTGAAGCTCCCTCACTTCGTTCCTTGAAGGAAGCCATAAAATGTCTATTAGAGATGAATCAGGATGAATAAAATGTGTATAAAATGTCATCATAGCTACTGCAGGAGGTTGAAGCTCCCTCAATCGTTCATTCTTGTTTCTCTTCAACAATTTGAGGAGGAAACTGAAATAGGAGGCAATCGATACTCGAGGACTTTGGAGGAATTGAACAAGTTCAAGGAAATAGGTGATCCTTTTACTAAAGAGTACTTCCAAATTTTTCAATCTGTTTACATGCAACAAACACTAATGCTTGAGAAGTTGAAACTTCAAAAGAACAAGTAAGAAGCACAAAAGCATCCATGCTTGGAGAGGTCTCTACTATGATATTTGTGGCTATAATTGCTGCTGTGTGGATTTGTTCAGCTGTTGCAGCAGCCATGGCAGGTCCACCTGTTGCAGCTGCTCTGGCTGCAGTCTATCCCTGTAGCCTCAATGGGGAAGTGGATTGACTCTTTTTGGAAAAACTAAGAAAATTCTGTGAAAGGTCAAAAGGAAGTGATTAGCTCGGTGCACGTAGGTACTTATGTTGCCATTGAGGAAGAAGCAGTGTAGGTTGCAATAGAGGAGATTAAAAAGAAGTTGCCTCAACATTTAACAAAACAAAAATAGAGGGGTAACCTGTCAGACAACCGTGTGACCACCCCAGACAGAAGACTGCCTGAGAACGATCCTCTACGGTCGTGATGCTCACAAGGAGCACCAGATTGTTAATCACGCTCTGATCACACGGTCATGTTTCATCCACCAGGTTGGGATTCCTGTCTCCTTAGAAATCAAGGATACAGAGGTACGATTACTATAGAACAGATCCTGTCCAAGTAAGGTCGTGAACTCTAAGCGGTCTTCGAGGTATATGAAGCGCTTCGGATTTTCGTAAAATGCCGATGTGGGACTCATCTGTTCAATTTTTTAATAGTTGGGCCCCGGAAAAGTGGCTGAGAACGATCCTCTACTAACTGGAAGATCCAAGGACCATTATTAATCATGGCCTGATCACACGGTCCTGTTTTTGCTGGCTCAGATCTATATTGAAGCTATGGAAGGCCATATGAGCAAGAAGAGCCTTGAAACATAATCTTCTGCTATCATTCTCGGTACCAATTTACAGGACACAACTTATCAATTGAGCTCAGATGAGGCAACTTCCGGAGAACAAGCTTGATAAGAAGCTCAAAGGCATCCATGCTTGGAGAAAGGTCTTTAGTATGATATTTGTGGCTATATGTGCTTCTGTGTGGATTTGTTCAGCTGTTGCAGCAGCTCCGGCTGCTGCTAGCTCTATCCCTGTAGCCTCAATGGGGAAGTGGATTGACTGTTGAAAAAACCATGAAAATCATGTGAAAGTCCAAAAGGAAGTGATTATGATGCACGTAGGTACTTATGTTGCCATTAAGGACTTGGACAACATTTCGTGTTCATATTGACTGGTTGAAAGTTGACATTGAGTCCCTCTTGCACAGTGCTAGCTTTGCCATTGAGGAAGAAAGTGAAGGTTGCACTAGAGGAGATTCAAAAGTTGGTAGTGTTTATGACGAATGTAGAGGATTTGGGAGCTCAAGCTGATACCTGCAGCCGTGATATTCGAAGAGCAAGAAATTTGTTTCTGCAGTGATAAAAAAAGAAAACAAAAAAGAGGGGAACCTGTCAGACAACCGTGTGACCACCCCAGACAGAGAAGACTGACTGAGAACGATCCTCTACGGTCGTGATGATCACGAGGACCACCAGATTGTTAATCACGCTCTGATCACACGGTCATGATTCATCCACCAGGTTGGGATTCCTGTCTCCTTAGAAATCAAGGATACAGAGGTACGATTACTATAGAACAGATCCTGTCCAAGTAAGGTCGTGACCGCTTAGCCGCGCTCAAGCTATATAAAGCGCTTGGTTGTTCTCTAAATTGTCGATGTGGGACAAAAAGGACTTAGTGTCTCTCTCTTTTAACGCGAGCAAGAAAGAAAAAATAGCGCGATGCTGGCCCAACAGGGCTCCACTAGCTCTCATGCATGTTCTCAATTCGGATGGTCTACCTGGTCCGCTCTAGTTTGAGGTTGTTTGGGAGTTTTGTACTAAACTGTGTTTTTTCAGATGTATGTTTTGTTCCTCTATTTTTGAGGTTGAAATGAAATTTTGAAGTGCCTTAAAAAAAAAAAAAAAAAAAAAAAAAAAGAAAGAAAAAAAATATTTACATTTTGATGAATGTTCAAAAACCTCTTTCCATAACTTTATTAATGCGTACATTTATACAGCAAAGCCATCATTATCCTGGAAGTTTTCTATAGGTTAAAATATGATCGATTGTTCTGTGAAGTTTATATTTTTCAACTGCCCATTTAGCCTCTCGAAATCCATGGCCATACTCGTAAGAGGAATGCATATCCACCACATACTTGTACGTTTCAATTAGGTTTCTCTGAAACTGAGCATGCTCTGTGGTCGTTGATGAGGTCTTGCTATCTTGGGCCTCCAAACACTCCAACCACTCCAACCATTTTCGACCTATCACTTGGCACATTCCTTCTTCCACTTTTAGCTCCAGTTGGCCTGTTCTAATACCTATTTACAAAGACATGGCAAGGAAGAAAAACCCAGTCAAATTGCTTGGTTTTTAAATCGAGTCTTTTATATATATTAAAAAAAACCAATATGATTTAGGGCTTAGGATAACTTTTGGATTTGTATTACAAAGTCTCACGCCGTCATATGGTGTTACCATTATACACGTGTATCTATATTAATATTATACTCTAAGGTCCAATACATAGAACAATGTTATCCACTCGTATTATAATACATAAATTAGCAACACATGACAGTGTAACGGTCTCATCTCATTAAAATTTGTCAAAGTAAAGTGGATATGATAAAACAAGTGTAGAAAACCCAAACGTATATTGTTTAACTAACCGACTTTATCGTTCTTACTATAATTAATTACTTGTTGAGATAATCACCTCTTAGTCGAAACCATGCATGCATCATCTCATGAGCCAAGATTGCACCGGTCATAACCCTGCATGTTGATTTGAATTCAAACTCGTAAACAAAATTCGAGTTTATAGACGTTTAATGAAACGCACAAGAAACTTGAGGTGAAAATAAGGATTTTTGTAATTCATTAACAGTCGCAATTAAGAAAGGAAGGAAGGTTGAGAAGTACTTAGGCAAACCGAACGCAATTGCTATTCTTAAAGGGCTGCCATAGGTAAGATGCTGCTGTTTGGCTGTTATAATGCTATTCCCTCTCCTTGAAAAGCTTGTGACCTGCACATATATAGGTTTCTTTTATATTTTTGTGACAAAACAAAAAAGCAAGCGTGGGTTAGGTCAGTTGGTCAGGACATTAAGTCTGTCCCTTTGTAACCAAGTTCGGGTCTCCTTCCCCATTAGTTTAGACTATTGTTTATACAAGAAAGCCAAAATAAAAATAAAATGTGGTGATAAAATTTCTTACGCTGATGAGAGGAGGTCCATAGCTCATAGTTTTCCCCAAAAATGAGGGAATCTGGATGAGGAGGGTGGTCAATTAGGGTTTGCAAACCAGCTCCTCCTCTCCCAGAAAGTCTTGCCATCTCAAATTCATCCACCATGGAAACATGAAAGTCGTGCTTGCCAATTTGAATTTGCAGTCCATTGTTGAAAAATTCAAGGCATATATCCACAAGAGGTTCACATTGTTGGGTAGTAAAGATTGCCGTGGAATAGCATTCATCGCAAATAAGCCGACCATCACCAAGGTTTATATATGTTACATATTTTGTCTGCACTAAACAAATGAATTAATTTCTTATCCAATATGATTTTTTAAAAATGAATTTAATAAGGGTATAATTGAATTTTTGTCAAAAAGTGGGTTCACAATGTAAAGACTTCTCAAAAATATTTTTTTCCTTTAGATTGAGTAGTTTACTCTCACATTAAATCGAGAATATTTGGTATTTTTGTTGGCTTATTCTCACATTAAATTGAGAATTCTACTTACAAAAAATGATAGAAAATTTTAAATAGTAGTCAAATTTGGACTTGATAAAGATTTTCAGCCCATTTTTTTTTCATACTTTTAGAATTTCGACCATTCGAAGGGCCTCGATTACTGTTTGAGAGGGTCTTCTCAGAGGGCTCGAGCGGTACTTGAGAAGCCTTGAGTGAGTATATTTCTAAATATTGAGAAAAAGATGTTAAAAGTCTATGAAGTTTTGGTCATATAATCAACATTTTAAATTGAAAACGTTGGTATTATGGAATCTTTGATTTGGTTTATGCTACCAAAACTTATATTAATTAGTCCCTTAATTTGCATTTAGAATAAAAGGTGATAATTTGACAAACCTTGAGCCTCCTGCAGCTACAGCAGTTCGGAGTTCCGTCTCGTAGATGAGCAGGACAAACTTTTTGGTTCCATATTTCAGAGCATACCGGAATTTGATCAGGTGGATGAGTGCTCTTGATCTGTTGAAACTATCTTTTAGATGAAAGACATAGAACAATCTCTAATTAAGGTAATTAAATGTAAAGAATGGTTTACATTTCTTAAATTCATTTGCATGTTAATTCAGCCTGGATTATTAATTAAATGTAATAAGATTTAATCCTCGTCTCAATTTATGGATTCCCAATTTAACTTTCAGCTATAAATCATATAACTGATAAGTTAAAATTACACGTAACGGCTATTTTAATTGTTTCTTTTTGTCATACAACATAAGATGTTTATGCAATTAGAGTATGAATATGGACCATTGATCAAGTTGATTTTGTCCAATTTTATGGCTGAGATTTAGTGTGACAAGAGAAGATTATCGTTTCATAGATTAATTCCGCCTTAATATTTTAAGAAAAGGGTCATTTTAGTTACTTACTATCGCATCACAAACGTCACAAACCCTTTGCTTCTGACGACTAGAGCTGGAACAAGATAAAGAAAATATGTCAATCTTATGTGAAGATCTAAAGCTCTCTTAATTCAAGTCTAAGAGTCTATTTTAAATTAAGGAAAATTAAGGACGGTTTAGAATTTGTAATATACAAATAAGATGGGTTTGTGAGTAATTATCATGTCCAGTTTCATGGCTGCATTTACCTGCTGGCTCCTGGAGATCTAAGGCTTGCCTTAATAGCTTCAGCAAGGTCTCTGTCCTCATCGTAAGAAGGTTCATTCTCTGAATAAAAAATAATAATAATACATTTGTAAGTTTTATATTTAACTACTAACAACTTAAGAAGTGTTTCACTAAAATCATACAAACATTAAAATATCCCTTTTCTCTGGGATTATTATTATTTTTTCTTGTTGATTTGAATGGTTAAAGTCTTTTTGTTGGCTTAGTTAATTTAATTTGGGTCTAATCCCAAACTGATCATTAGCTTGACCAATTCAACCTAGAAAATGGGTTTGGGTTGGGTTGAGTCAACTTTTGAACTTAAATATCTGGTTTTGGACTCAAATTTTTTCTTTCTTGAACCAACTCTGTAGGTTTGGTGCAGGAGCTAAGTCCAAAACCAATCCAAATCTACTACTTCTTAAAGACCTTTTTTATATATATAAACGATAGTCTAAACTACGGAATAGGGGGGTTTCTCACACACAAACAATTACGATGTTAAGGGAGTTTGATCCTGAGACCACTAATTTGCAAATCAAAATCATTTTTCACTGGACTAAACCCTGTTGGCCTTGTAAAAGACTCAAATTATTTTACTACAATTATTCAAGGGAGGGCAAGCATCAAACTTTTACCAAAAAAATGGGATGAAAAAAATGGGTAAAATGCTAGCCAGATCATAGAGGTCAAAATATTTAATCATTTCAGCCAAAAGCCCCACATAGAGGTAACCTATTTTGTATACCAATTGATCAATTGAAAAACATCAACTGTTAATCGTTGCTTCAGGGAAAAATTTGTTTGTCGGGTAAGGGATATTAGGCAGACTCACCGTTTTTCTTTTTCCCTTTTCCACATAGATCCCAGAGAGAGAGCCGCATGGCGCGCTCTATATCATCAATTTCATGTTGAGACATTGTATCCTGTATTTTCTCCAATATAAAATGTTAATGGAGACACATAAAAAAATATAAAATCACGAGAAGGAAGTAAAGGAAAAGAAATTTATAGAATACTCATGCGGAGGCGTACACGTGGTTTTAAAAAAAAAAAAGTTAAAAAAAAAAATCAATGTAGGAGATGTGATTTGAACTTCAGATCTCTTTTAATATTAAAAAAGGAAATATGATTAGACACATAGATAGTTGATAAGGCGTATATGTACATGCAGGTCAGATTGGGAAAATAAGCATGTTGAATTATTCATGAAGAGTTAAGAAAACAAATAGTGAAAATCCACGTCATAAAGAGGCAAAATTCCCAATCATGCACAAATATTCACACTTTCAGGTTTGCGTGCTACTTGTTTAAAATAGAAATTTGCTACTCATTAAGCCAAGAGTGTGGACATTTAATTAATTTCCTTTTTGTTCGGTTTTCAAAAGCTATAATCCTTCATAATTTCATGATTGTAATTTATAATGGGACAATATACTTTGCAGAGTAAATCACCCTTTTATATACAATTTTTGAATCGAAACCGAACGTCGCCGTTGTGAAATTAAACAGTAATGCATCCAATATGAAAAGTGAAGGAAATTACTTCTGGCATTCTAAAACTGTTGAATCATCTGTTTCATACTGTCCTCAATTATGAAAATTTTGTTGTGTATGCACGGGATTGAGACCCACTTAAGAATTACAATCATTAAAGCTCAAACCTAGAACCTGTTGACACTCCCAGAGTACTAAGATGATTTGCACTTAAACAAAACTTTAACAAGGCTAACAAGTGGCAACGGTCGAATATTGAAAATGGTTGCGGCCGTGAGATACGCACATACCGAAGATACATATATTTTAAACCAGATGGACGAGAAAATGGTTAAGTAAGCGCATGTTCCGGTCAAGACAATTACTGCTACAAGATTTACAAGGCACCTCAGAGTAGAAAGGTCACCTTCTGATCCTTCGTGGGGGAAAATGGCCTTCAGAATCAAAATCGGAAAGCAACTGGTCCTTGAGATGAAATCTGTTCATTAACCAAGTTGTAACCTCGTCTTCAGATGTTGGAATATTGTCTAGGGGGATACGCTGGACATGCATATGAACTTCAGAAGGGTTCACACCAGAGGCATTGTCAAAGAAAGTTGGGCAGCTAGGCTTGTAGCCAATAGTCACATCATAAACTGAAGTAAACAGAAAGACCAAATACACTGTAAGCTGACGAGTAAAAAATAACACAATCATCTGAAAGACGTGGTTAGAATATCAAACAACCTCAATTCTATATGGTCCTATAACCTTTCATTTTCAAGTGAAAATGTTAAACTACTTCTTACTTGACCATAAATAAACAAAATGAAAGGGAAACCAAAATGGTTGACATATAAATTTTTGAGTAATCAAAGGCAAACACAGAGCAATGAAGCAGCAAATCCAGCAACTCAAGCATTCCAAGCACAGATGTTGCTCCCTATTTCAATTACAAATAATATTCAAACACAAAACTATGAAATCATTGCAAAAGATGAGCACAATATTCAATAAATTTGATCAGAAGTAAACGTGATGGAAAAAGTAAAAGGGACAAGTTAGATACATTCGCTGCTGTAGCACAATAAGGACGCTCAACGCTATCTAATCCAACAAAGCCATCGCCTTGAAACAAGTGCTAACAATAAGAATGTGTGGTGGTGCCACAATTTATACAAATAATCTTCCTACAAACAGATTGGATTTGTATAAGGCCCCTATACGAAGAAACATTCAAAGCTAAAAGTTGAACTCATTTGGAAAGAAGACAAGCTAGTCCATATATTATCAAATTCTTGTTAATAAATCCAACAAATTGTAATCAACAAAATTGGCATCGTTCAGATATTCTACAGCACTGGTAAGAGTTTCAGAATTCTTTCTCTGTACAGACCGACAACAAAATATTTTTAAAAACTTGCTTAGGTCTTTACATTAGTAAGAAAGAAAGGCCCTAAATGAATAACGAAGTACTGACATTTGAAGTGCCAAGTTCAGAATTTCTACAAATAGTCAAAATCCATTTGAGCCTACAAGCTTATGCAAGCAATGCAAGGTTTGGTTTCATCCTGAAAGTCAAAGGCTTATTCTTTGAATTACATTAAGCAAACCGAAAAAAAAAAAAAAAAAAAAAAAACAGAAAAAAGCAGGTTATAAGTCGGATAAAACTGAACCAAAAACTTCGATATTTCAAAAAATTTAAAAATCCTCATTGGGAACTATTGCCCATAAGTCAAATAATTAATATCATTAGATGAAGATCAGCCAATTTGCAAAGGTAGAGCCAATTCAAGACAATTCAGTCACCATGCAAGAAAGGATGTTTTGCATTTCAAATTGTAAAGAAAAAAGCGGAACTCGTTCAAATAAAGAGTAAACCTCCAAAATAACAGGTAAATAAGGCAACCTGCATCCAAAGATCCCCTCAATTCTTCTAAACAGGCACTGAAACCCTTTGTTTTTGGAAGCAAGACATGATTTAGAACTGGTAAGCCATTTTCAGCAGCATATTTCTGACTACGTATGCACTTCTGCTCACTGCAAAAAATAGTCGGGGGGAAGAAATGATTCAATACATTATTAGGATAAAAAGTGTTGGACGAGAACCAATATATACAAAATGAAGGTGATATTGCATACCCTTAGATTATACCAACTCTACAATAAAAATTGAAAGCAAAAACAGTTCAAGAAATTACGTGAAATCTGTTCCTTCTGGGAAAAGTGCAAGCCAGAGGGAATCTTGGGGATCCTTCAGACTTGAAAGCATTCGGCGCATGTTTAATTCATCGACCTCCCACTTCCTCTCCACGGAGATGAACTCCAATATGTGAAATGACCAACCAAATAAAGGCAGTTTCATTAAACTGCTTTTAAGGATATACTTTATGTATCCCTGGCGTCCCTTCGCAATGCCAAGTCCCACAAGTACATCCAGTCAACCTCAGTTCTATGGTTTGAAATAAGTAAAATGCGTTCACCATCAGGAAACAGTTTCTCCAGAAAATATAACTTTTGTCTTGTTTATCTTTTCAAAAAGAAAAGGCCACAAAGCTAACCAAGCACCAAAGAAGAAGGATGTTACTCTTCTACTGTAATGTATGCTGAAAAGTCTAATTATAACAGCACCCAAAAAGCCAAAATACACTAACATCATAAATGCAGTCGAAACAAGTACAAGTAAGCACACAACACCTCTAATTGCTCTAAGTGGAGTTAAAGGAAGGTGCTTCATTGCATCATTCGAAGGTTTTTGAACTTCCATGTGTACTCAAACAGTCAAATCCAATCACAACTCTTAAATGAGAGTTGCACTACTTCCCTTATGTACCCACTTACAGTGATCCTAATGGGAAGAAGCTCCTAGGCTTCTAGAAGAATATTGAAGGCATTATGTTCTTGGCTTCAAGAAATGACTCCTACAGAATCTAGTAGCCACGCTGACCATTAGCAACTACCTTCAGATAGGCTGCACAAGGAAAGTCAGGAAGGTACTCAGCAATGTCATGTTTCATGGAACAAAAAATTAGTGTAGTGAGGGATGAAACATTGTTAAATGCAGTATGCAAAGGTAACAGTTGACAGGGAAAAAAAAAGTACCCTCAGAAATTCAATTGCATATAATAGCAGAGAGGAAAAGACAGTTTACAAGATAGAGCAACAGTTATAATTGGTAAAATCAATATTTCACTACCAGGTAAACGCTGAAAAAATAGCTAATTCCTGCATAAAGCATCCAACATGATTGGAATAAAGCATGCCTCAGAAAATAGGTTGAAACTGTTGAGCCAGGTCTTGAAAGCGGGTAGGCTATTCACAGTTTAACTTTCGGGGCAAACTTCTATTTGCAGTTCAACCACTCATGTAGACATAAAGATAAAACTAAGGACAACTGCACACCTCTGATGTTTTGCTCATTAGTTCTGCTATTTGCTAGATTACAATCCGGATCAGGTCATAAGAGAAAAATTAATTAACTCAGATAGAAAATCATTGCTTCCAAGTGAGTGAGCAGAGCTCATCATTCATCATACGAATCTAATTTGTTGATCTAATTACTTTCCAAGTAACTCAAGCCTTAATCTATGCCAAAAATCAAGTGAAACTCAACGCTAAGGATAAGCATGACTTCAAAACCTCATAAGCAAAAATCAATAGATCCAAAACTGACTTCTTCTACCAAATCTGTTCTGACTCTTCTCAAACAGAAATGAAAATGAGAGTTTCGCCAAAACTACCGTACCGTAACTCGTTTGGTTGCAGAGAAAACCGAGGAAAATCCAATGAATATCATTTCGCTGTTGATTAGATTTCCAAAATGAAGTGATAGATGAAAAACCTCAAGCGCAGACAGCTTAGCGTTTCAGAGCAACTAGGAAATGAGATCGAGCAGTTTTCCGAGACTATTTAAAACTTTCTCGGAGTTTCTAGGCAACCAAACGGCACTCTATAAACATAAAACAATGTAAAAATCAGAGACTAGGGGTGATTGTTGTACCTGGTTGCGGTAGGCCACAGCTCCTGGAATCCGGTTTCGTTGATATCTTGTGGGAGCTACGAGAGGGAGGAGACTAGTTGAGACTGTGAGTGTTGAAGGGGATAGGAAAAGAGGTTCATAAGTTTCTTAAATTACGGAATCTGCCACGGGCCTCGTGCTGCCGATTTCAGATCCTCTGGCCCCAATTTCTCTGTAGCCTCCCTGTCTCCTGGCTAACACCCGGACACTTAACACTGTTAAGTAAAAAAAATATATGTATATATATATAACGAAGAGTTCGAGCAGTGAGTCAATCAGCCAAGACTCCCCTCCTCCGCCGCCGCCTCCTCCTCCAATCTCTCTCTGTCTCCCACCATATATAGTCCAAAGTTGGAATAATTTGGTGATAAGTTTCCAGGGAATTTCAATTGATTTGGGGTTCTCGAAGCTTCCTCATCCTGATTATATATATATATATATATATATATATATTAAAGAATTTGCTCATGCTAAGCCGTTTAACACTCGAGTTTCAAGTTGCTCAACGCTGAGCATAAGCATGACTTCAAAACCTCAAAAACAAAAATCAATAGATCCGAAACTGACTTCTTCTACCAAATCTGTTATGACTCTTCTCAAACAGAAATGAAAACGGGAGTTTCGCCAAAACTACCGTACCGTAACTCGTTTGGTTGCAGAGAAAACCGAGGAAAATCCAATGAATATCATTTTTAGTGTCGATTAGATTTCCAAAATAAAGTGAGATGAAAAACCACAAGTGCAGCAGACAGCTTAGCATTTCAGAGTTACTAGGAAATGAGATTGAGCACTTTTCCGAGACTATTTATAACTTTCTAGGAGTTTCTCGGCGACTAAACGTCGCTCTATAACATAACATAACATAATGTAAATGTTGGAAAATTTAATATTAACTAATATTGATTTTCCTATTTGAATGGAAATTAATAAAATTCATTGGGTTAAATTAAAAACATGACCCTTGGGTTAAAGACATCTTCACATGGGGAGTAGCAACCCTTCAAACTAAGGGATGCATTGTTTGGGGTGACAACTCTTCAGACCAAGGGATGCATTGTTTGCCTTTTCAGATTGAGATACCTTTTTAGAAAGGGTATTTCATTATCTATAAATAGAGCAATCCTCCTGCAGTTTGATTCATTCAGTTTAATTATCTACATACAGACTTTCACATATAGAAGGCATTAGAGTTTTCATAAAGAGAGGTTCCTGCATAATTTGGTTCAAAGTTCCTTGTGAATTGCAGTGCTTCTTTCACAAGGAGGAGAGTCGTTGTATCCCTATAGTCTAAGTACATCCTATAGTCTAAGTACACCATAATATTTTAATCAAAATGTAAAACTAACTAAGTACACCTTATTTAACTATCAAAAATACCCATGGTACACCCTAATCCTAAATGAGGTTTCTCTTTTTACATGAATTTGTGTCCTCTTTTCAGATTTTGGATTTGCATCAAAATCTTTAATTTCATAAGCTGCTGTGAGGATAGATTTGCTAACTCCTTCAATTCAAAGCTTGATTCTTGTAAATTCTTGTGACTCTCCACTTGAAGCAGGAACCAAGTTTGAATGCTGCCTGATTATTAATTCTAATTTCAAGTTGAATAATGTTGGCCGTTTCAACACCACTGTCACAAATTTTTGATATGTCAGTGACTTGTTGGGGCTTTCTTCCCAAGTGATAAGTCCAATGATATGCTGGTATATTTGGTGGTGTTGCACTTTTATTTAAATCTTCTCTTTGATTGATATAGCCCGCTGTCTTGTAATGTTCATAATTTGTTTCCTGCACTAAGTTTGTAGCTATCCCCAGGGATGGACCCCACAGTGGGGTCAATGGGGTCAAACGACCCTATGGCCTCCATGAACGTAAGGTAGAAAGTTCCTTTGAACCTGTGTGTGACCCCATGAATGGCTGAAGGAGGAGCTAGAAATCTGAGGAAGAAGAAGCTGAATAGGGGTTCAGTTTTTTTTTATAAACGAAGCTGACCAAAACGGCGTCGTTTTAGGTTAGCTTCTAATTTTTTTTTAAAACCGGGTTGGCCAAAACGGCGTCGTTTTAAACCAGCCCAGCGAATTTTTTTAAAAATGCGCTGGATCCAAAATGGCGTCGTTTTGAACCCAGCGAATTTTTTATTAATGCGCTGGCACCAAAACGGCGTCGTTTTGGACCAGCAGAAACAAATTTTTTTTTTAAAAGACCTGGCCAATTTTGGCCCAGGTCTTTGAAAAAAAAAAAAGAACATATTGTAATTGAAACAGACCCTTCTCTTCGACCAAACAGAACAGACCCTTCTCAAAACTCCAAAACCCCCATTTCCTAAACCTAAATCCCCAATCTCCACCCACCCACGAACCTTTAACCCTCTACCCACCAAGCTTTAAGTCCTAACTCCTCCATTGCCGCAGTTGCCAGCAGCACCGCCGTGGCCAATTGAGAAGGATGTTTTTATTGTATTGAAAATGAAGCTATAATGCTACGTTTTCAAAATATGAAACCTCGTCGTGGCCAATTGTAATTTGTAATGTTGTTTTTAACATGAATTATAAATGAATGTACTATTGTTTCATTTTCAATGTTATTTTAATCTTTAAAAAAAAAATAAACTTTTACACTATGACCCTACGAGTTCATAATCCTGGGTCCGTCCTTGGCTATCCCTTGGTTTTCTTTCCTTTAATTTGTGTGGGTCTCTTCTGGGACAAGGAAGTTGTTTCAACATCTTTTCTATAAATCTCTGATATTTTGATGGAGGTTGATAAGTGTTTGTCTGCATGTTTCCTTCATGGTTCGCCATTTCATTCTCCACTTCTTTCTTTTGGTGGTCTTTTCTTATTAAAATTAGAGACTACTTATTAAAATTACATTTGTTTCACAATTTAATATTTTGTTTTGGTCATTTAATATTAGGGTACATTGGTAATTCAATAAATAATTTGGTAATATGGTGTACTCGGTTAATTATAGGGTTCGTTTAGCAGCACTCATGTTAAAATGTATTATAAATATTTTTTATGCCAAAAAAAACGAGGATTCGAGGCAGGTATGAGGAATAGTCCCCCGACGGGAACAAGAACGGGGATTCCTCGAAACCTATTAAATGGGGATGGGTTTGGGGATGAGGGTGGGGATGGAGAGCCGGGACGGGATGGTATATGTCATACCCGGCTTCTACCCGACCCGTTGCCATCTTCCTTGCTTGGGCTTGTGTTTTTTTTTTTTTTAATTTTTTTTTTTTTTTTTTTTTTTTTTTTTTTTATTATTATTAAGTTAAGATTTAAAAAAATTTAAGTGAGTGTCCAGCTATTAACATATTAGCTAGAGAACATACACAGTACAAAAAAAGGTTAGGAGGTTTTGAAATCTGTGTTGCCTGACTACTAGTAATTGAATAAGGAAGGTATACGGATAATACTTGGTCCCAATCGGAATGGTTAAAAATTACAATGGTATCTCGCTACGCTATCTATTAATTCTATCCATTGAAAGCATCCAACGGTTGAGAAAATGTCACATGTGCAACCAATTAAATTTAAGAAGTGACTTGGTAAGTTTATTTTTCAGTACATCGATATGGGGAATGGGGAGCACTTTTTCCTGGATTGACCAGTTTTGGTGTTTCAAACATGTGATGAAGGCGCGGGGGTGAGGTAAGACGGAGGCACCTAAGAGTAACTCCACCCATTTGCCCTTTGCCATGACAAGGGGGGAGCTAGGGCAACCACTATTCACATGAATACTTGCTGCCCTTTCAAAAGGTTGTGGTGTTTCCACCAATTACCATGACAACAACTATTCACATAAGATATGATGAGAGAAATTTGTATAGAGTTTTGGTGTGGGAAGTGAAAACTACAACTAAGTATTTATTTTATAATAAAAAAATCTGAAATTTTTTGTAGATTTTTTTCATTTTTTAAAATTTTTTTTGTTGCTAACGTCAGCAAACTCAAGCTGGAACTAAGGCAGATCTTGCATGAGGGCTAGCCTGGGTTTGTGGGCCCCATCTCCTGCCAGGCCTAGCCCTTGCTGTTGGAAACAGTTTTTGGGCCTAAAACCCCCCGCCCCGCCCTTGTTGCTGGAACTGTTCTTACTACTGTGTTGAACCCCTCAGTCTTGACTTGGCAAGTTCAGACTCACAAGTAATTCACTACTTTAATGTATCGATACTAGGGGTGGACTTGGTCCAGTCCGATTTCAACCTCAAACTGGAACCGGAACTATTTAACTAGTCTAGTCCGATTCAATTTTAGTAAAAAAAAAATTATGAAATCAGTCGGTTTGGTTTGAATCGGTTCCAATTTTTCTGATTTTGGACTGAATTATTATTATTATTTCAAAAAAATTTATTATATAAATTCCAACTAAAATTTTATTTTTTGAGCTTGAAAATTTACAAATGATCCAATTTCATGCAAAGAGAGATATTAGGCCTAAAAAAAGATGTTTTGAAGTTGGGCTTGGAGAAATATTATTTATGAGATTAAAAACATAGCATTGGATTTAAATAATTTGAAAAAAAAAATATACACACAATCGGTCCAGTGCAATTTAGTAAGGTGTGAAATTAGAATTGGAATCGTTGGTCAGTTTGTTTATTATTTAATCAACACAAAAAAATTCAAATTTTTTTTTTTTTTTTTTTTTTTTTTTTTCTTTGTGTTTTTTTTTTTTTTTTTTTTTTTTTTTTTTTTTTTTTGTATGTATGCGTACGGACGACTCAGAGTTCCTTTTTTCCGGTGTTGATGCCCACCCCTAATCGATACATATAATTTTTAAAGGCATATATGTCATATGAAAAAGTTTGTGTTGGAGGTAACTAGTTTACTTGTTTTTTTTTTGGTTTTTACTAATTTCCTTGTTTTTGTTGTTGTTGTCTTTTGAAGTTTTTATTAAGTTGACCCCACATCTGATCTCCCTCATCACCCAAGCCTGCGCACCCCCCTCCTCACCATCAAAACTGGTGCAGCCATGGGATTCAACTTAACCCAATTATTATCGTTAGAGTATGGGATCTGGTGCTGTGTGTGCGAGTATTCTCTTTAGGGAACACTCGGCCTTTTGCAATGACTGTACTTGCACCTTCTTTTTTTTGTTGGGGGTGTAAAATAAGGGGCAAAGTCCAAACCAAAGAGACTACACAAAACTGTACTTGCACATTTGCTTCCACAATATTTGTCCTTCAATAAAAGGAGCCCCAAAAGAAAGAAAAAAAGTTTGTAACTGGAGATGACTTGCATCTAAGACAAGCATGATTGATGATAATTTAGTAACCATTATGAATTAAACTTAGGAACTTGTTATGAATGGTATCAATTCATAACTGAACGGGGCCATTGTTCCAAAGGCTAAGAGACTAAATGATGAACAAGGAACTAGCAATAAAACCTCCCTGTATGGGACCATGAAACTGATTTCATCAAACCAAGCACAAGCACATGAGCATTGGCTTTCTATTGCTATATGGTTCGCCAAACTTGATTAGATTCAAGAAAGAGAGCAATTCTTTTAAATGCATAACTTTTGAGCTAGACATTTTATCAAACATCTTATGAGCAGAAATAAATCATGAGCCATTTATACAATAACCACAAATTTTTTGTCTGTTTAAATCGTACACTAGCGTTGAACTCCGCTTATTGCAAGACGACCATCAGACTAAGCTAGATATAGAACCGCAAACAACTCCCAAAACCAGGAAGAAACACAATTCCAAAGCAAAAGTAAATAAACATAAAATAAAGAAAAAAAGCACATTCATGACAGAAGGGGGAGGAAATATTATATCTTAATCAGAGCTGTTGATCCAGCCTTTGCAACTTCATCCCTTGTCTCCATTAGTTCGGTTCTGCACTTGTCGACTTCGCCTCCCAATGTCTTAATTTTCTCTTTAAATGGCTCCAACTTGTTCTGAATATCCTGCATTGTGACATTATTTATTTGTTTCTCAGAATTTCCAAAGTCCTGTTGGTCGAAGAGTGAATTAATGTCATCTGCAACCATCTCACAGTAGTGCTTAATGTTGCCCAACCCTTTACTTGCAGCCCTATTGCTTACATGCATTTGGTCAACTAGTCTCTCCTCAGCTTTTAAATGATCTTGATATTCTTTCCAAAAAGAGGAGGTCCATTGCTGTCCGGCAAATGCCACTCCAGCACCAGCAGCAAGAGCTAGTGTAATTGCTGCTATTGATAAAGCAGAAGGAGAAGCTAAAACTGCAGTCGCCACCACGCAAAGACACATCGCTGCCCCACCAGCGATGTATAGCATATCCACGGTCTTTTTCCAATAACCCGTGATCTGCTGCTTCTTGACAAGCTTCAATTTCTCGCTGTTCAACTTCTTAAGCAGTTCACTTTGCATATTGAGCAAACGTTCAATTTTCGGGAGTACGCTTTTAGTGAAATGCTCGTTATTGGTTCCGGCTTTGAGATCCTTCAGTTTCTGAGCAATCCTCTTGTAGTGATCATCAGTAGGGTTTCCCTGTTTATCAAAGTATTCTCTAACCACAGCTTCAATAGACTTATGGGTTTTGTCAGCTGATTTTATAAACTTTTCCAATTCAGATAATAAATCCAGCATCTCCCGGCTATTGTGTACGAACTCGTCCACAACTTTCTGAAATCTGAGGTTTTTCTTCCTCCTCCTCTGACTCTGCTTGCCCTTCACCCCTTCGATATCCTTTTGCAGTATGAAGACTAATTCCCCACTCTTCTGGTTCCAATCCCTCACATGCCGCACGTAATAATTACATAAATCAGTTGGAAAAGATCCACTACTGTTCAAGCTGTCGAACATTTGTATCACTTTACCTTTGACTTCGGTGTCAAAGGATCGTATGTCTTCATCATGCTTAAAACAGTCTGCATTGTTGCCGCAAATGTTTCCCATTGTTGCTAAAACACCGGCAAAACCCTACAGGGCCTGGAGCGCTTCTAGCTGTGTTGAGAATTAATCTTTAATATATAACAGGCGAATCTAATCAAATGTTATGAAAGAAAACACTAATTAAATTATGATAACTAAGTAAATTTACAATCTTTTAACCTAAAAAAGACAAAGTTTGACAACAAAAAAAACCTAAAAATGACGGACAAATTCTACTGAACTTTCTGAAATCCTATTGACAAGCGCTAGGATCAAATGTGTCCATACAACTCAAAAATTCTAAAAAATAACCCAACAATAATACAATTTCTAAGTTAAACCCAATTTGACATATAGGATAAAATGTGTCAAATCTGCATTCATGTTTCCACTCCCATAGTCAAAGTCTAACCCAATGGAAAATGACATTGACTTGTAGAACATATGTCTGAAGTTTGAACCCCATGGCATCTTGGTTGTGTGTGTGTGAAAAACCCACTTCCCTATGATGGATCCAAAATTTGAAAACGGTGTGAACTAAATTTACTTTACGTACAAATATTTTTAGAAAATACAAAACTCGACGGTACAAGTGAATTTCATTGATAAAATAAAATACCCTAGTGAGAAGTACACATAAATAGAAACTAGTAAAACAAAAAAGACTATAATTAAATCGACGTTTTTGTTTCCCTTCTAAGTGAGGAGATGGATATTCCTTTACTTTTAGTTGACATAATCCAAAGAGAATATATACTCTTAATTAGGGTGTACAAAATCCAATCCAATCCCCCCAAATTGATCGATCCAATCCAATCCCCCCAAACTGACCAATCCAATCCAATTCAATCCAATTTCAATCAATTTCGATGATTTGGTGGATTGAATTGGATCCGTAATTTTCAAAACCGACATAATTGGATCGGATGACGGATTTGCTTATGAGAATCCAATCAAATCCAATCCCATCCAATCTAGTTAGTTCTTATTTTTCTCTTATAGGCATTTGTACTTGGAAAGGTTATGAAAATTTTAAGTCATTTAATAGAGTTATGTTTAATATATTATATAATCAAAATAATTTTTTCTAGAATTTCATTTATATTTTACATTTATGTCTATTAATTTATTTGATTAGATTAAACCTAAGGATAAATATTTAATTTTTTTTTTTAAATTATCAAAACCGGTCATCTAATCCAATCCAATCCAATATCAATTGGATGTAAACATTTAATATGGTTAGATCGGATTGAAACAATCACAATCCAATCTATATTGGATCAAATGTAGATTGACTAAATTGTACTGATTTTTGACGTACACCCTTACTCCTAATTCTACTCCCACCCCGCCTTGTTTTTTTTTAAAATTTTTTTTTAATGTACTAGAAAGGGTTAGCTATTGTAACTAGGGGTGGGCGCGGTCCGGTTTGGTTTGATTTTCACCTCAAATTAAAATAGAATGTTACTTATAGAAAATTTAATTTAATTTATAGAAAAACAAGGTGATGGCTTGCAGGTAAGAAAAAAATTAATTTAAAAAGAAAAAACCAAATTTACTATTAAATTCAAAAGTATTAGTTCAAAGTTCATATATATATATATATTTCTCATTTCAAGTAATAAGAAATTCCAGTGTAAGAGAGAAATTCCCTTGCCTAACTTTGCACACCAAAAAAAAAAAAAAAAAAAAAAAAAAAATATGTTTTCCCTTTAAATTAGAGCACCTCCACCCTAACAGGCAAGAGCAAGGCAAAGGTAAGACAAGGTTTGATACTTTTCAAGTGAATAGTGACTGCCTTGCCTTTTTAAGTTCCACCCCAAATAGCAAGGGAAATGGCAATTACTATTCATTTTAATCTATTTTATATTTTTTTATACTTAAACCATTAATTTTGGCATGAGAAGTGAAAAATAGGACTAGGTATTTATATATATAAAAATTCTGAAAATTTTGATATTTTTTTCGATTTTTATTTATAAAAATTTTAGTTGCTGACATCATCAATGACGTCAGCAAACCAAGGCAAGATTTGCCTTTGGCCCTGCCCAGGCTTGTGGTCCCCATCAATTGCATGGTCTTGCCTTTGTGCGCTGGAGACAAAAGCTGGGCCTAAGCCCTCTCCTGCCTGGGCAAGCCAGCAGCCCTGGACATGCTCTTAGTGTCGTCAAGTTGTTAGAAAGGAAAAGTAAAGAAAAAAGGAAAGATGTGACGGCCTTAGTTGAACAGGATCATACCTCTTTGCGTGTGTGTGTGTTTTTTAAAATTAAGTTAAAATGACACAAGAAACTCCGGTGAATCAATTTCGTGAAAGGAAAAAAAAGAAATTACAGGAAATAGCATCAATTATAAATTGTAAAATATCTATTTTGTATAACAACTTTGAGAAACAAGGCTATAGATTAAGCTCTCTGGATAATAAGTCTAACTTCTTTTTCTCTTTAGAGAGAATGATTATTCCCGTTTCATTTAATAATAATAAAGTGCATAAATTCAAGAAGAAGAAAAAACATGAATATGAAAAAAATTAAATTCATATTTTAAGTATAATCATATCGGATGAGCCCAATAATATAAAAGCAGACAGAAATCACCTTTTAGATGCCCTTCTCCCCAACACTACTGATCAAGCTTTTGCTCTGCCTTTTGCTCTGCCTTTCTCCCCAACTAGCTATTTTAAAAGCACAAGCATTGACTTAAAGCCATTGACTTGGCACCTTCTACAAGTTCTAGTCTCGTGGGTGACTGGAAACAGAACGAAAGTAACCCAATGCGCAACGACTTTGACTGGATATACCAACTTTCTTTAAACACAACATCTCATCTACAATATTTCAAAGATTCCCGTAGTTTTTTAAAATCTCGATTTGACAACTCCTAGGAAATTTCCCACATATTATTTTTGTTTCTATGCCAAATGGTGGTACTACTTCCAACTAGCGTGACATTCAAGTTGTGATTGTTCTCATTTCTTGCCCAAGTTGTAGTTATCTTGCTGACTAACTTTCGAGTCCTGACAAACTGTCATCAAGTTCTCCAACTTTGAACTTTCCAGGCATTCTAACAAGCTTCCAGGCGATCTGAGGCGAGTTAAAGTGGTGATAGTCTTGATTCCAGCCATACCCCTTTGTTTTGGCACGCTTTTGTTGCTTTATTTTGCTTTCCTTTTATTTTAGTTTTTGTACTAGGAAAATAATAAAGTCCTTAATTGTGTTGAGGTATAGAAAAAAACCAATATGAGCCAGTTTTCCACTTAGAGCACAGTAGTTTGATTGGAAATCAGTTTGTTTGAAGTGCATCTTATAATAAATTCATCTTTCTATTGATCTATTAATAATAGCACTAATAATGACATGCTCATGCAATACAATTATAAGAGACTAATTCAAAAAGGATATATTAGAACCCATTCCATATCGTTTTTCAAATGTTTTTTCCGTTTTCTGAGAACAAGAACACACATATATTAGTTCAATGGGTTGGCTGTAGAAAACACAAGATATTATATATATTTTTTAGACATCACAATGTGTTAAATTGTAGTAAATTTGAAAACGACTTTATATGTATTTTTCGCATTTTCAGAAAAGACGGGGCTTCGTTCTAATTCTTGAGGAGTGAACCCTGGAATGCCCTAATCTAAAAAATTTAAGTATGAAAGATTTAGAGCTATTTTCCTTAATTACATCCTTTGAAAAAAAAGGAGGGAAGATCTGCATCACCCACATAGATTTGCTTACCGTTGTTTTAGCTAGAAGCAGCATTTCTATATGAAATTTTTATGATTTGTCAAGGATCTTCATGGAGCTAAACTGGGAATTATTATGGAATCAGAAGCATTGTATGCCAAGTAATCTTGGCCATCAAGAAATTAGGTCAGCCAACAACTATATGAAGAAGATCAAGACAAGAAGAAAACACAACTTTCTTTAAACACAACATCTACAATATTTCAAACACGTCTTCAAAGATTCCTGTAGTTTTTTAAAATCTCGAATTGACAACTCCGAGGAAATTTCACACATATTATTTTTGTTTATATGCCAAATGGTGGTACTACTTCCAACTAGCGTGACATTCAAGTTGTGATTGTTCTCATTTCTTGCCCAAGTTGTAGTTATACTGTTACCAAACTTTCGAGTCGTGACAAACTATCATCAAGTTCTCCTACTTTGAACTTTTCAAGCGTTTTGACGAGCTTGCCCCACGAGTCTTAGAGATATCCAGACCGTGGGAGCGAGGATTGCAGATCAGGTTAACCATATGTCTCCTGAGTCCAACAAGGATTACAGGGCAGGACGTGTCGCCGATGGTGTCACGAGGAAGTGGATAGTGATGGCTTTCCAAGTGTGATTACCCGAATTTAAATGCTTTTATTCATTCATTTAATTATATATTGCCAAGTGAGTAATGCCAGGAAGCTTGGAACAGGAAGCTAAGATGAAATACGAGAACTACGTGTGACTTGATCCCTCAGTAAGGGTATATAGGCAGCCTATGGTTACAAGGCGCAACCACGAGTTAGAATGTTTGAGATTACCAATGTATTATTGTTGTTCTAAAGTTGAAAAGAATTTTATTAACATATTGATTTATTTGATTTGTTGCGACCTGAGACCAGAATAATACGATGCTTGATTTTTTTGGATATAATTGAATGCATGTTGAATGATTGAGTTATTTAAATGTTTGTTGACAAGTGGAAATTTTGGGAAATGAGCAAATTACAGGGGAAACTCTGCCGAATTTTTAGCAGAAGTCAATTTAGTAATAAAGTGGTTTTTTAGTTAGAAGGGCAATACGGTCATTTACGCCCAGCACCCTCCAGGTGTCGGACACATGGTTCGGCTCGGATTCCAAAGTAGAATTTGGGTCGGGTCCTGTCAGATGGTGTTAATGGTTTTTTGGGGAACTATTGCTTCCCTTGCCTTGTGGCTTTGGGTTAAATAAAAAAATTATTTTTATTAGTTTTTTATATTTTTAATTTTTTTAATTAACATGTTTTTATTCAAGTCTCAGTCCCAGTCCAGCATTATACCAAATGCAGGACAAGCCTTATTAAGCTTAGTCCAAGCCAAGTCAATCCATAACAATACTTAAGCATATAGTCAATACCAAGATAGTTCTGTGTGACAAACGAGCACTATATGTTTTATAAAACACACTTGAATTTAGAAATTACGAATCTTAGTGGATAAGGAGTTCAATGCGAATATTTCTTCTCACATGGAAGAATATTTTACAAGCAAAATTCAAATTCAAATCAAATAAGGAAATATTATATCTTATATCAGAGCTGATCCAGCCTTTGCAACTTCATCCCTTGTCTTTATTAGTTCGGTGCTGCACTTGTCGACTTCGCCTCTCAATCTCTTAATTTTCTCTTTAAATGGCTCCAACTTCTTCTGAATATCCTTCATTGTGACATTTATTTGTTCCTCAGCAATTGCAAAGTCTGGTTGGCCCAAGAGTACATCAATCTCAGCCTTATTAATATTGTTCAACTCCGTAAGGGCAAGTCTAGTATTGTCATGCATTTCGTCAACTCGATTCTCTTCTTTCTTTAAATCATTTTCCCCATTTTTTTAACCGAGAGACAATCCAATGTTGTCCTTCCGTTAACGCCCCAGTACTAGCAGCAATAGCTGCTGCTATTGCTACAGTCTTTGGAGAAGCTAAAACTGCTGCTGCCACAGACCAGAGTAACATCGCAGCCACAGAACTTATGAATAACATATTCGTGGCCTTCCTCCAAGCACGAGCAGTCTGCTGTTTCTTGACAAGCTTCTCTTTCTGGACTGTCAAATTCTCAAGCAATTGTTGATGCATCGTGATCAAAGGTTGAACCTTCTGGAGCAAGCTTTCAGCATAACTGTTATGGGCAGCGGCCTTGATATTCTTCAGTTTCTCAGATATCCTCTTGTAGTGGTCATGAGTAGTTGAACTAGTACCACTGTCGTCCGGGTTTTCCTGTTTGTTAAAGTATTCTTGAACAACAGTTTCAATAGACGAATGGCTGTTGCAAGCTGAGTTTACAAACTTGTTCAATTCCGATAATAAATCCAGCATCCCCCTGCTATTGTCTACGTACTCGTCCACAACGCTCTGAAATCTGCTGTTTTTCTTCTTGCTTTTCTTACTCTGCTTGCCCTTGACCCTTTTCTTGCCCTCGCCTCTGATATCCTTTTCCAATTGCAAGATAGAGTCCACAGTCGTCTGGTTCCACACCCTCACATAATTTACGACATCTTTCAAGTATTCCGTTGAAATAGCTCCGCTACTCGCAAGGCTGCTGATCACTTCTGTCGTACGTGCTTTGAGGTTGGTGTCAAAGGATTGCATGTCTTCATCATGCTTGCAATCCTCCTCATGTGCTCTAAGCAATCCTGCGTCTTTATCGCGAATGTTTCCAAGGAGCTTGCTGGTTAACTCTCTCACTCTCTTCAACCTCATTTTTGCTAAAACACCTGTGTTGAAGTTTCTGTAGAGACAAATCCATACCGAATTAATATTAAATCAAAAGCATTTTCCAGTCCAAAATTCATGAACTTAACAAGAAATTCCAGCCCCAGATAATTAGAAACAATAAATTCTCTAATCTTCTCCACAAGTTTTACAGTAACTTTCTTTCTCAATTTCTGTCATTTTTTCCTTCAAAAGTGGACCTGACCCTCATCACGTAATGGATTTTCTGACTATCATACTAACGGGCAACAAATTTTCAATGTGGGGTGCCTTATTGTTAAAATTTATATAATAATATGCCTTGAGTAAACAATTGCAGAGTACCAAGCTAAAATTAACCATTTATTTCATAGGAAAAGCAATGTGCAAGTAGTATAACAAAAAAGAAAAGATGCAAGGACCTTACTTGACCAGGTCACAATTTTAGGTCAACCTGACCGAACCGTCCAACTTGATCATTAGAGGGTTGAGTTAGGTTGGATTGGCCTAATAATAAGCATGTCTTGGGTTTAAAAAATCATAAACCGCTTTATATGGTTTGGGTTATGAATTGGAATCAAAACTAAAAAGTAAGCTTAATTTTGAGTTAACCCGACTGAACTGCCTAACCCAAACACAAAGGGTTGGATTGACCTAATAATGTGTGGGTCTTGGGTCTGAAAAATCATAAACTACTCTATATCAGATTGGATTCCTAGTTGTGAGCAAAACTGACCCAACCCAACCCACGCCCACCCCAAATCATATCTCTGTGTCTCCAATAATAATAATAAAATCCTATTTTAACATGCTAGGTCCAGCTTTTCTTATTTCTCTTTTTTTTTCTTTCCAAACGATATAAGGATGTTTATTGATTGAAAATAGGAAGTACATACATCTGCATCTAAGACAGAAACAAGCCAATCAGGAGCCAAAGACTCCCAACAAAGAAAGTGGAGAAAGTATAACAAAAAAGAAAAAGAAAAAGGAAAGATGTGACGACCTTACTTGAACAGAATCTTCTGTTCTCTAAAGGATCATACCTCTTTGTGTTGTTAATTGAGTTCGAATGATACAAGAAACTCAGGCGAATCAATTTCCTCAAAAAAAAAAACGCAGAAAATAGCATCAATTATAAATTGGTATAATTGATATTTCACTACGATATGATAGTAAAATTTGCTTAAAAAATATCACTTTGGGAATTCCATCGATTTGTTTAATACTTTCGAAGCAAATTATTTCTTCTACCTTATCAAGATGTAAACTCAATTTGACATAGAAATCTCTTAATTAAAGCTCTCTATATATCTAACAATTTTGAGAAAACAAGGTGCTTTTCCCTTTCGTAGTAATCCTAGCCCAAATAAATGTCCCGTTAATTAAGTCTAGCTTCTTCTTTTTTGGTGAAAATAAGTCTAGCTTCATTTTCTCTTTAGTTTTGGTTTTTTCGGAAAAATCGAAAGAAAAAAGGAAAGTAAAAAAAAAAAAAAAAAAAAAAAAAAAAAAAAAAAAAAAAGGAAAAAAAAAAACAATTATTATTTATTTAATTAATCAATCATCATCATCAATTTTTTTTCTGATGAATTAGATAAAAACTGTAAAAGTAATATAAAATTAGACAGATTATACCTTTTGCTGCGTTAATCAACAGCTCCCCAACTGAACCATTGAGCTCGATCCTACTTTCTATGCCTGTCCCTGCTGCAGAACTGTTTTAAAAAGAAAAAATATTGACTTAGGGTGGCTTAATCATATTTATGGGGAGAGGAACTATTTTAAAAAGCAAAAATATTGTCTTTGGTTTTTGCTTTTTGGGGGTTTTCACCCCACTATATCATGCCAAAAATATTGACTTAAAGCTGTGGACTTGGTGGGTGGCTTAAAAGTCACGCAAGCGAAAGGAAGTGGAACTTTCCGAAGATAACTACACGAAAGGAACTGGAACTTTCGGAATTCTCGAAATTGAAATTAGAGCATAAAATTATTCAACACAAACATTAAAATCAAAATTTCAAAGAAATCCTCTAATCTTGCCCTTGAATTATGTTTCGATATCCTTTTTTTCTTTTTTTGAAAATTAATGATAATTGTATTTAATAATTGGACACAAAGATCAAATACACATAAAGGTACAAAGATGGATGCACAGTAATCACAAATGGTTAATCCAAATATAGGAAAATACACCGGCGATAAATCATAGCTTGTATCTCCTCCAATAACCCTAAAAGACCAAATACATTTTAACGTAACAGTCACATACTTGAGCAAATCAGGCATGAAATACAATGCCCAAAATTACAAATACAACTATAAATAACTCTCACAATACAAGTAGAGACACCCTCTCTCTAGAGGCGGCAATGAACCAAGCTCTGGAGTGGCTTGGCAGGGGGCGGGGGTGCACCCGCACAACCCTGACCCAAAGTCAGGGCGAGAAGAGGCCAAGCCACTGACCCACACAACATGGCTGAGAGAGTACGTTTTGGGCTGTAATTCTTGGTTTGTTTGTTATTTCTTCTGACTGACATGGGTTTTGGTTACTTGTGGGGTGGTGCTATTGCAGTACTTATGGAGAGAGAGAATTGCAGAGAAAATGAAGCTCTGCAGGAGCTGGTTCCCAATGCCAACAAGCTAAATTAATTACTTCTCAAATGAAAATCTATTAAAGAAGACAATTATTTATGGGTCATCATCAATATTCCTTTAATGAAATATTTGTTGAAGCTGTTCAGTACCCATTTCCCGAGTGGGTCACCTCTGATTCTGTAACTGCCGCTAAGATTGCAATTCATTTATACTAATTTTTCTTCCTGTGGCTACGGCTTGCTCTTTGCCTTCGGCCAATTGCGAGACTTCTTCAGAAAAATAATTGATTGGTGGCAGTCTGGCGATCTCCAGGTCTCCCGTTTCTCTCTCTTCTTTATGCGTTTCTCACAATTCCTCTGTCTTTCTTGGAGGTAATTAAGGATTTGCAGCCGTTTTACCTCCGAATTATGACTCTCATAAAAATTGAGATTTTCTATTTAAACCTCACACTTCTCTTAGTTCACCCCATGTTCTAAGTTCACCTCAACTTTGAATTTAAATTTTCACAATTTCTAAGTAAACCTCACTATCTTCCCCAACTACCCTTAAATACACCCCAAGCTGAAAAAATAAGAAATAAAAGAGATTTTCTATTTAAACCCCACAAGCTACCTTTAGAGGAGAAAATAAGTTTTTTTCTACTGCTAAAGCAGCAACCGAAAGGCCAGATACGTTAGCCTTTTGGTAGAATCACCAACACAGTGAGATTCCATTCCACGGAGATGCCTAACGGCCACTTTGATCACATCACATAAACTTTGCATTCAACTTGGTCATCCTTGGTCATCACGATCTTAAGCTAATCTTCTTATTTCTTGTGTTGTTCTTAGGGTGCAATTATGGGTCCCCTCATAACTACAGTTGTGATTGCGCTTAAGGATTTGTACGTGGAATTTGTTCTGGGCGAACCGAAGGATAAAGTTGAGTAGAGAGCATGCTTGTTTGATTTCCTCACCAGTTTCTATTTATTTGTTTGCAGCTTAATCTGAACTGCAAGCACATTATTCTTTGCCAATCTGTTGGTCCTCCACACCTCAAGCAAGAAACGAAGCCGAAGAAGAAAGGGCTTGGGGTCGTAAGATGACACACTTGCTAACAATCCGCCATGTGCTATCTCATAGGCATACATGGAATAACTTTTGATTCCTATCCTGGATTTGGAATCGTTGCACAGTTCATATACTTTCACTTTCTTACAATAAAATCATGAAAAGCAGTATTTTTTTTTAAAGAATAATTCCAAAACAAAAAAGACAATAACAAATTCATGGTTGATAATAGCATGCCTATAACACGTAGGATGCTGACTTAAAACGGTTGACCAAAAGACTAAGACTTGCCTCACTTCCTCTTCCATTCCCTAGCCTAGAATACATAGACCATGTCTACTGCTGAAGCAGCCGAAAGGCCAGATACGTTAGCCTTTTGGTTGCTAAACAAACTCTACTTATAAATAAGTGAGGAGAACATATCATGTATTTTCTGAAAGATGGTGTAATCTGATAATAATTTATAAAAGTTTACAAAACCCAGTAACTCGGATGAAAATAAAACTATTGTGACAAAACATCTAATAGTAAGGAATCAATATACATCAAGATGTACATCAAATGAACCAGTAAGCTCTTTCCAATTGTCAATGCGATCTCGATATGGACTATACCAATCAAATGCTTTGAGGTTGGAAATATCAAGCCGACGATTGATAACAGATGGCATAGGATGGTGTGGTTGCAAGTATAGCTATCAAAATAAAATAAAGTTATCAAATGTATAGTTAAAACAACAAATAAATTTCACAAGGAAAAACTGGCAGCTATAAATAGAAAAAATTTATTATAATACTTGCACAAAGTGTTTTTCAACCAATCCGATAGAAATTTCCCGACGTTGATATTCAGGCAAAGGATGACTTTCCGTTGGTAGAAACATAAGAGATATGGCATTTGAAAAATGCATCAAGACCACATTGTAACAATTTGCAATAAGGTAACCCATTTCTGGTATGAGCATCCATCTATCTTCTAAAAGGTAATCATCAAAATAATCCAAGCGATACGCAACCTCACGCTTACTTTCAACACTCTGAAAGATAAATTCATAAAGAAATTCATTATTTTTCAACTCATTCAGTAACTCCCTCCTTACTTTACGCCAAGAATTCTCCCCGTAACCTAGCAACCCAGAAATGGCTCTAAAGCCACAATTGCCATCAGATTTTACATCTTTGGCCCCCATAATAAATGGCCTTATAGCAGCTGGAAGTTTCTCATTATATTGTTGTGTCAAGTCTTCGGGATTGACAATTTGTTACTATACTTTCCTTCAAATATCCTATCCATCTCAAGTAGATTTCTTTCATAATCAACCTCAGTCTTTGCTAAGACCAACATATTCCATAACACTATAAATTGTTCCCATTTTTCACCTTTCTTAAGTATGCCCTTGCAAGCCTTCATCACACACCTGTTGATATGCCATCTACATAATAAATGTCGGACACTAGGGAACACATTGCGAATGGCATTCATAAGTGCAATTTCCCTATCAGTGACAATCACCCCTAGAAGACAATTTGTATTCATGATGCTTTTCAATCTATTCAAAGCCCACATATAGTTGTCTTCCTTTTCAGAAGAAATATAAGAAAATGCAGCTGAGAATGTTAGTTTCGTCGATGTTACCCCCACAATTTGTAATAATGGGTATTGAAACCTGTTTGTCTTATATGTGCAATCCATTACTAGTACATGAGGAAATGCGTGCAATAAGTTTACACTATCAGGGTGAGCCCAAAAAAGATCGCTTACACAATTGGTGTCATCAGTCCTATGCCAATGAATATATTTGTGATCAGATAGTCTACATAGCAATAGTTGCATCTCAGATCTACTAGCTTTCTCAACCACTCTGCTTTTGTGTCTATCATTGTAAATTGCCTTCATTGTTGTTACATTTTTGCCATCTCGTCGTTTAATGGTGTATAATATATCTTTTGGCCTCACTAAGCTTTTAGACATATCCATCAGCAAGTTGTTTTCTTCCTTACTTAACCGTCCTGCATATGAATGTCCTTCAAGATACTCAGCAGAATGATGGTTATGAACTCCACATACAACCTCAACTTTCCACTCATCTCCAGGACCACCATATTTAACCCCTTCAGCTGAAATGGCCAACATCATCTACTTCCAGTGTTGTAGTGCTTTTTTTAGTGCTTTTTGTTTTTTTTTTTTTTTTTTTTTTTTTTTTACTTACATTTGCTTTAGAATTCATTGGTTGTTCGTCATCTGAATCTATAGTAGACTTCTTAATATAATGCTCACCTCTCTCACAACATAAAGTAACTCTAGCCCTCCTCGTTATAATTTTTCTAGCTCCATCAGACCTTTTAATGACAACTACTATGCCACACTTTCGTCCTTGCACACGACTCCAATTAAGCAATGCTTCTCGACTATTAAATATCTATATAAAAGCATATATTGTTGTTATAAAAGATTATCAACCACAAAAAAGTTACATCATAATAATAGTTTATTTACCTCATCAGTTGTGAATTGTTTAGTTGTGTCCAAAACACTTTCTGTCCTGATATCATGGCTTGGAGTAAATTATTATTTTGTTCTGGCAAAAAAAAAAAAAAAAAACAGCATCAATATCAAAAGTGTGCAGGACCTTTTCAGACTCAAAGTACTGTACCAAAATTGTGCAGAATTGCGTCAATATCAAAACACAGTTGTATCAATATCAAATGTAATATACTGTACCCTAAAAAATAAAAATAAAATAAAATAACCACAGTTGCATCAATATCAAAACACAGTTGTATCAATATCAATATAGGATAGGACCATGAGCTCAATTTTACTGATTACGTGAAATGAAGGCTACACCTACAATGTAATGTATGCATATATAATCATAATGGATCTTGTCGTTGGTTCCTTTTTAATAAAGAAGTGGGCTTTTATCTTTTGGATTTGATGCTTTGACTTTTCGACTTGCACAGGCAGACTTATGTAATGTACTGTAAAAACACACAGCTGCATCAATATCAAAACACAGCTGTATCAATATCAAGGAAAGATACCAATCCATTGCTCATAGCCAAAGTAGATGAACTTGTCTTTTGATATATGACGCACCCAGCAAATTGTAGGACCATTGTCAAAGCTTGGGCTTCTCTCCCTCTTCTCTGCAGGATAATAAAAACCCAACTTAACAATATTCCCATGAATCTCTTGGTTTCGTGCCTTTTGAATGTGTATGTCAATTAATATAATATGAAGAAAAATTCAAGTTACCCCATACTTTCTAGAGAAAGAGAACAGTTTTACCAAAACATCAGGTATAAATTTTAAATCAAAAATCAAAACAATCAAGCAATCAACAGCCAAGCGTACCCAAAAAAAGAAAGCAATCAACAAAGGGAAGAGAATAAGATCATTACAGTGAAACAATCAACAAGTCTTTCCATTAGCTTTCGCGCAGATTTCAAAGTGGTAGGCTCGTCAATGTTCTACGTCTTTAAAATAGAAAAGCAATCTGGCATAGGATGTAGAAGAGTTTGTATTTTTTTTAAACTTAATTTGAAGAGTTGTGGGGTGTGTGGGGTGTGTGTATAGATGTATTAGGGTTAAGTATTAAGTTGGATGACCTTTTTTGTCTTTTTACACAATAATAAAACTTACAACTTAATAATTTAAATATTGGGGTGAACTAAGAGAAGTGTGGGGTTTAAATAGAAAAAATCTAAAAATTAATCTTTTGAACTAAAATAAGTCAATTTAGCCCTGAATTAATTAAAATTGCCAATTTAACCCTTACCATTAATTTTTTCGAATTTCATCCATTTTTCGTCCAAAAATATGTGTCATCCTCATCCACATGACTTATTATTTTTATTTTTATTATAAAAAAACTAAAATTGTAATAAAATAGAAAGAAAAAAAAAGACTTACTTTCTCTCCCCGTCTCTTCCCCTCTCCCCCGTCTCTTTCTCTCCTCTCTCCCCATGTACCTTTGAAAAGTTGAAGGCCTTCAACTTGTTGAGAGGATAGTTACTCCTGATTTATCTTGGTGTTGCTTTGTTGCATTATTCGCATATCCTATGTTTACCCTTATATTTAACGAAAAATTGGATGAAATTCACAAAACTTAAAGGGTAAAGGCTAAATTTGCCATTTGAATTAATTCAAGTATTAAATTAACGGGATTTTTGTAGAAATGTCACATGAACTTATATATCATTTTCAATTTGTCACTTTAAAGAAAAATTTAAGCAAAATGTCACCTTAAGTTTTCAAAATCCATGATTTGTCGCATGACTTTAACATCATCCAATTTTCCATCCATTTTGAAGGGTATTTTAGTCTTTCCAATATGTAAACCCTCGTTTTTTTATTTATATAATTTAAATATAAAGCTATGTAAACCCTCTTGCTTGAAAAGACTAAAATACCCTTCAAAGTGGATGGAAAATTGGATGATGTTGAAGTCAGGTGACAAATCATGCATTTTGAAAACTTAAGGTGACATTTCACTTAAATTTTTCTTTAAGGTGACAAATTGAAACTGATGTATAAGTTCAAGTGAAATTTCTACAATTATCCCTAAATTGACTGACTTTTTAGTTTGGAGAGTTAAGTTCGATTGGGTTCTTAGTTGGGGAGTGTATGGCAATTTACTCAGTAATTAATTTAAAATATTAACCTGTACTTGTTATTCATTCCTTAGCATGTGATAATGTGCTCATGATAATGAATTAAGCTAGGTATAAGGAATAATGGATATGATTTCCCTGCAGTTTCTAAATTCCAATTCTGCAATATAATTTTGCTGGAAATATAAGTCTATGTGAGTTTGGTTTGTGGTATTTTTATGGCGGACGAGACAGGTTTGACAGACCTGTCTGCGTTGACAGATAAGTCTCTGTTGGATTGGAAGTCTGGAATTGGGACTAGTTGGCTATGAGCATGAGAAATGGGAAAGCTGAATTTTCCAACAGGGATTTTCCACATTGCATTATAGTTTTCATTTAAATATAAATAGCTAAATTATTTTATCATTGGATATTGATATAATTTTTGAATTTAATGGAAATTATACAATTGTGTCATAAATGGATATGCCTTTTTTGACTTTGTTTAATTACTTGTTTTCATAATTGCTTTGCTTTTTTGTTTGTTGATTTGCTATTGTAGTTGCCGCTTAATTGTTTAAGTTGAATTTATTAAGCCCTGATGATGATTGGATTTTTAGAAGAAGTCTATCTGATTTTGAAGCTATGGGGAATGCTAGCAACATTCTCTCTAACCTTCTCTTTTGGACCTTATCCCTTTTTTGCTTGACATGTGTCATTTTTCTTACACTTAAAACAATGTCATTAATATATTATACAAGCTAACTTTTACTTTCCAAGTTTACCCTTGTTAAATGTATTCAATTTATCCCAAAAAATTTCACAACTTTCTCACCATCTTTTTTTTAATTTTATGCTTAAAAAAAAAAAAGCGGAAATGTCCCTTTTTTTTAATGTCAAGTTTAGACTTTTTTTTTATTTTAAAAAAAAAGGACATTTCTTTTTTTTTTTTTTTTTAACAAACATTTTCTTTAAAAAAATAATTGACTTTAAAAAAAAATTAATAAGATGGTAAGAAAGTTGTGAATTTTTTTGGATAAATTGAATACATTTAATAAGGGTAAACTTGGAAAGCAAAAGTTAGCTTGTATAATATATTAATGACATTGTTTTAAGTGTAAGGAGAATAATACATGTCAAGCAAAAAATGGAGAAGGTCCAAAAAAGAAGGTTAGAGAGAAGGTTGCTAGCATTCCTCTTGAAGCTATATGTTCGTTTAAATGAGTTTTATCACTTTGATCATGGCTTTTGCCTTTTTGTTGCTTTACAATTTTATTTGAGTTCCTGTTTGGTCCAGTTTTGGTTACAAAATGAAATAGAGTTGCCATTTCAATAACAGTAGATATTAGCATCATGTTCTAACCAATTTGTTTTGAGATAATATGGTGTCATATAACATCTTGTTCTAACTAAGAGTTTATATTTTTTAATTAAAAAAAAAACATAAACTTGATAGTATTGTTTTTATTTATTTATTTATTGTTATTGTTCTAGTTAATTTTTTTTTAGATTGTAGATTGAGCATTGTATTTGAAATGGTTCTTATAGTTTCTTAGTGTTGTTGATATGCTTCGTTATGAATAGTAATTGCATTGTAGTTTATAATTTTTTTACTGTGAGTTTTACTTGATATTAGTTTTTTTTTTTTGGTTAATTTGATAGTTTATTTTTATTTTCTAGTTATGTTTTAGTTAGATTGTAGATTGATGATTGTTTTTGTCGTCGTTCTTCTAGTGTCTTAGTGTTTCTAGTATGTTATTGTATAATGCCAGTGCAAAAAAAAAAAAAAAAAAAAAAAAAAAAAAAAAAAAAAAAAAACCAAAACAAAAGTTACCATATATTTTTGTTATTTGTAGTGTGGTGTGGAAACAAAGCAGAAGGTCATAGGCTCATAACAGTGGAGTATCCACAAGGCGCACAATCAATAAAAGAGTGCAGTGCATGGTTGTCCATTGGCTGTGCTTTTGGGTATATTTGTTTGGGCTGAAAAAAGACAAAGTCCCCTGGGCTATAGCCCAGGTTAGCCAAAGGGTAGGACGTCGGTCGGTCGCCTGGCTGTGAAAGAATCAGACTTCCACTTCAGTATATAAGATGGCATACCCTTGCCCTCAGAAGTGGTTTGACGTCTCTTTTACCTGGTTTACTAGTGTCACAAAATCATTAACAATACTTTATGATAGATATATCCTAGCTGCTTGAGTGCTTCAGGAAAACACCATGTTTTTTCTTCTTCTGCTAATTCCACCAATTGCCAACTTTAATTTATTACCATGGAAAGAGGAAAGTCAATGAAGCAGCAACGATGGAAAGATTAATTCTCAAATGGAAATTCACTTGAAAAGGTAAAATTTACTGGGGAAGCAGTATGGCACTAGTACAAACAAAAGTAACCAAAGATGATGGCACCACACACCTCAAAATTTTGGAAAACTTTATTCTATACAAATTGTTTATTTATTTATTTATTGAAAGAGGGGTAGATCTCCTTGCTTGTCTTGATAAAAAAAAGTACCTTCAATTTATTTTTTGTTGAGAAACTTG